TAGAACTACTTACATGCTAAAAGTTGTTATGAACAACAAATTTTCAAATTAAATGGACCAATTCTAATTGATTAGAAACTACCTCATACAGTTGGAAGGTAAAAGAATGGAAATGTTCCAATTTAAGAAGTATATTATAGAAATTGATTTAGCACATTGCTACTTCTTGGACATATGATGTCTTGTTTAGTTCTCTCTCATTGAGAATGAGGTTGAACTAAATGAAGAAGTATGGCTAAAGGAGAAATAAATCTACAAGTTTAGAAGCAAATGTTGCTACTTCACAAGTGGAATCTACGAGTCTGGAAGCAAAAGTTGCAACTTTACAAGTAGAACCTATATTTCACCTTACCTTGTTATTGGCTAGAATTAAATAAATTTTATTCATTCTTGCCATTATCAAAACACCATTCAATGTTAGTAATGACTACACATCGAAGATTCAAAAACGTGGAATAAATGTTATTATATGCTTCATTAAGTCATAATGTGTTTTGAGATTGCTAAATAGGTTCAAAGTTCTATATGATAGAAATTATTAATCCATTTCTATATATAAATTGTCTCTAATATGTCAATTAATTAGAATGAAAAATGAACATTGCATGCGAAAGATCCAAAGGGATGGACTTTCAATATCATTGGATTATGAATCCATTGATATATGTAAATATCATTCTAATTTGAAAGTATTTACAAAGTCACCATTTAGAGAAATGATGATGAGAACTCAAGGTCGAATACATATCGATGTAAGAAAACCAAAGGTTCAAAGGCTAGAGACGGACAATGAAACTTCATTTGTGATATGATCACATGTTCTTAGTTGAAGCATAAGAGTGAAATTTTTTGAAAAGTTCAAAATGTTCAGTATCAACTTGACAAGATAATAATTGCATTACAATATGATTGTATTATGAAAATTTGAGTCAAGACATTTACTTGGCAACACATTCAAAGTATTGTGATATGATCGTAATAATGAGAATTTAAGCTAAGACCTTGATGAGCATCCAAGAGTTGTGAAATCGTTTTACAACATACTCTGAAAGAAAACCTTGTGAAGTGTTTATGAAGGGAGCTATCAATCTATATAAGATATATTTTGATAATGGATGAAAATTACCTATCTTCAAACCATTGTTCAAGGGATATACTTTTAAGATAAGCTACAAAACTAAACAAACTATATATGTCAAATCAAGTTTAGCAAAGACTCCATATATGATATGGATAAGAAGAGTTCTCATAAAGTCTTTCTACAAAGCAAGGAATAAATATTGTATTAAAGCGTTTAATGCACGATCAATTCCTACACAGAGCACGGGGTACTACTACACAAATCATACTTAGCACAAAATGTTTGTTGCTCAAGTAGATGCCCTTATGGAAATTGTTCCAAAAGGTCAAGTGGGAGTAGTATAAATCTCAAAAGAGTTTGAGAAAAGCAACAAACAAACATGGTTCAAACCATGATTGGTTCACCCTATGCTAAAAGTGTATCCTGAAAAAGGCAAGTGGGAGTACAAGAATCTCGAAAAGTTCGAGAGCCTTGAAAGAGTTCAAGAAAAATGATTTCGCAAATCTTGAAGAAATTCAAGAAGTAATCGAATAAAAGCAACAATATGAGCATGATTCACCTCATGTTACAAATGACAACGCGTGGTCTCATTAAGTTTAATGGGAATAATAACCATGTGTCGAAGGTAGTACATTCCAATTGCACATCCTCAATTGTCGTTTCTCATTGAACTGAACAAAGTTGTTGTATAAGTTTCAATTGTTGCATCAAAACCCACAATGATGACTAGCATATGTAAAACTTAGTCAAAGAAATATGATTTCATATTGATTAAGAGTTCTAAAATATTCATTTTGGAACATGATGATTATGCAAGTAACAAAGATGATTTGACAAGTTATAACTCCAAGTGGTTTAAAAACCAGGAAATCTGAAATAGATTCTAAGTCTGTAAGCAAGTATATGACACTTGAATAATTTGCCTAATTGGGTGAGACCCATTATAAGCAAAACAGACAAGAAAGAAAAATGTTTTCTAAGTAAGCAAAGACTTGTTAAAGGATTCAACTAATTCATAGTATGACTATGACTACGACGAAAACTTTACATTAGTCATGTTCCAAAGATCTATTAAAGATATTTTAGTGATTACTACCTTATAAGATTTGGTAGATGGATTTCAAAACACTTTCTTGAAATTGTTCATGAAAGAAGATTTGTATATGATACAATAAAAAGTTTGAAGATCCAATAATCCTAGAGTTAGTGTTCTTAATTTTGTGAGTAAATCAAATCGTTTGATGTTCTCGTAAAATGAAGAAAATGTCTTGTGTGTACAAGATGTTTAGTGGGAGCTATGAAGTCTTCTTGGTCTAGTATAAAGAGAAATTATTCATTGCTTGAAGGGTCAAGTAATGGCTAATGTATTTTGTATGAAAAACCTTGAAGAAAATGATGAGTACATTTGGGATTCAAAATCTATAGAGATAGGTTTTGATGGATGTTTGAGCTTGGTTAAGAAACTTATAGTGATAAGATTCTTATAAGGTTAAACATTATATTGAAAGGAGTTTCAATCCCATGTAACATGGCACATTGCTTATGATTCAATACTTTGAGAAAGGTTGATGAAATTAAGGTCTTGAGTGATGATCCTTATGCAGTTTACAAAGGATGCATCATGCATGTCATGGACTATACTCGTCTATTTGATTCACATGTTTTAAGAACAAGTGATTATAGATTTCAATTGAAATCCAATGTTACGTTGAAATACAAATTAGAAATTTCTAAGTTCCTTGTGAAAGGACGAAGGAAAATTCTTAGTGTATGGAGATGAAAATGATTATAAGATTTAGAAATTGCAAAATTCATGTTTATGAGAATATCTCATGAACTCTACTTACTAAACCCCTTCCATTTCCAAAGCATGAGAAACATGCTAATGAAATTGGATTGAGGCAAATGATGTAATTAGAAGTTGTATTTGTTTTTGGGGAAAAACAAGTTACATGTGTAATACATTCATTTGCAGAATTATGTTTATCAATTGAAACAAAGTTTCAATCTTATTTAATCGTGGTTTCAAGATTAAATAAAATGTCCAAAATAATTATGAATTGATGGGCTTATCAGGTTGATGACCTGGTGAATGAAACCCCACAGGTGAACTAAATTCATATATTATTTAAGTTCCTAGTCCGGAATCATTAAACTGGACATAAATGATTTCAAATCATGGACTAGCATGTAAGATTGATTGGATAGCGCAGTTTCATGGGCTATAGGAGCGTAGTGAAGCTCGGTCAATCACATGGATATGCATGAATGATGCATGATCGAACTATAGACCTACTTTAAAGTTCAAGTATAGAGCTTCCGGATATATTAGTGGATTCCTTTGACATGAGTGGAACATTGATTTCATTCAATGGATGTTATGGCTGTGGTACACTCAAACGTCTGCCCGTAACTGGAGATTATAAAGGGTGTTTCCCGCTTATTTCAGAAGTTGAGTGGGAGCTTTGGTTGCCACAAGATTGGATTGAGTCTACCTATTTAATTAGGAATGTGTCTTGGCCCCTTGAAGAGGGAGAATCAGAAAATGCATGGTCGTGCTCAAATGCATTACATAGTAATCATTTGTTCTGTGAATCTCACTCAGTATTTTAAGAAAAGATTTGTAGACTAATATGATCACGACATGAGATGCAATCATATTATCAAATCGACACACATTGACTTAAGGAATTTGAATATTGCGCACTTCAATCAACCTTCAACGGAGATTTGAGCCACGAACACACCACCACACGCGCCACCCAAGGAGGAGGGCCGTACGGACAGGGAGGAGAGAGAGAGGGCCAAGTAGAGAGAGAGAGAGAGAGAGAGAGTTAGGGTTTTTGAAAAACCTGGTTGCTTGTGTGACAATTCACTGTATGTCAATTGTTGTGTGTCATACAACCCTAGGCTACATAGATGGCAACATAGTGGAGGTTTAATCCATGCTCGTGGAGGTTTAATCCATGCTCGTGGACTAAGTAGAGGAATCACGCTTGGGGTTCTTTATCTCCCATTGTTCTTGCTCGATCGCACGTGGAATCACGCTTCAAAGGTACGATTATATGTACAATTCAAAAATGTTTCTAACTGTTGCCACTCCCAAGCATTTAGTAGTTGGTAGGGCTCGAACTTGTGATCTCAATGTCACAAGGTGAGTTCCCCACCAACTCCACCAAACTTGCTTATATATATATATATATATGTATATATATATATATATATATATATATATATATATATATATATATATATATGTATATATATATATATGTATATATGTATATATATATATATATGTATATATATATATATGTATATATGTATATATATATGTATATATGTATATATATATATATGTATATATATATTGTCTTTTTAATATAAATGTTGCCATAGATGGCAACATAGATATTAATGTTACATTTTCAAACAATAGTTTTGTTATTATTATCTTTTCATGCAACGATTATTATGTTTGTTGTCTTAGACAAGAAAAAGGTAACACTTTTAGCGATTGTTGCCTTATATAGTCTAGAGCGACACTTTTTTTCTGTTACTTTAGTTCAAGGTAACAAATAAATACTGTTGCGTTAGATTATTAAGGGTAACATTTCTGTAAGTGTTGCAATCTTAAGTGTTGTCTATTCTCATTTTTTTTGTAGTGTACCCATGGTTACAAATCAGAAATAGTTTGAAATGCTTGCTGTAGCAGGAGTGGAACAAACTCTCTGATGCGTAAATCAGATATGCTGAAGCTGGAGAATTGAAAAAAAAAAAAAAAGAGAACAATGAAGGAAAACTATCTCCAAAACAAACCAAACATACTGAATCTTGTTTTAAAAAAAAAGGTACAAAATTCAATTTTAAAGCTAAAAATAAAAGTATTGTAAACAATCCAAGAGGAAACACATATATATAACAGAATTCTCTAAATATCAAACCGTCATATTCAAAACACTGAAAATATGAAATTCATTACACCAAAAGGGGTACATAAACAACAGAAACAGAACCTACAACCTGGTTTCAAGACAGAAACTACTAATAAGCATAAGGCGCATACTAACACTACTATTACAGAAAGGAACCCTAACAACTAAGTACAAGTCCTTAAACACAACATCCAAAATAAGCATGCTTTATGCCGCATAGCTAATCAACCCTAGCACGCTTAAATACAGTTTCTAAATCTGGCAGACCAGTAACAAGGTGCTCTGAAGTCTCTACTTCCATAGCGTTCTTAGAGCTTCCTTCCACAACGACCCTACGTTTAAGCGGACGACTTGGTGGAAGAACAAGGACCAGTATTTGTGATTCTTCACCAGTTGGTGTCACACAACTATCAATCCCCAAACTATTAGCACGATCAGATTGTTTAGAACTCCTTTCTAAACATTCAAGATGGCTTTTCAGGATTAAATACTTTTCCCGTATCAAGGAACATTCAACACTTAGCTTTGTTGCAGTACCATAGTTCGCATCAACTATTTCCAAACGAAACTGAGAAGCTATGAAAAAGCATGCTTTCTTTGCAACTCTTTGCTCAGCTATAGCTACTTTAGCACAAGGGTCACTAAAAATGCACTCCATAGCAATATTACTATGAGGACAGTTTACCATAAGCCATGAGATATAACCATGTCCTTGTACCATAGTAGTCTCTATAGCAGTTGCAGTGACACCAGTTTTCCTCACCAAGACACCCAAAAATTGTGCAAAGTCAGCTGAAACATGGATATCATAAAACGATGCATTCTCCCCTGAAATGCATTCTGATCGTATGCGATTCAGGTCTTCTCTCTCCTGGACTAATTCAGCGCATCTATTTTTATATAATTTCACACATAGGCGATACATCTTAAAGCGTTCATGCGTGAAATCATCTACTCGGACATTAAATCGTCCAATCAATCTTTTGACAGCCTTGTGAGCTGCTCTCTCGCGAGACTCCTCTTCCGAACTGGCATCTCCACCATAAAAAAGGAACTTTAGACGTGTATTTGGACGGCCAACCCGAACAAAAGCATTGTTCTTAGCAGCATCTATGAATCCATAGACTGGAGGTGGAAACTGGAGCCAAGCAACAATCTTTTCCAGAAGAGGCTGAAAAGGAACGCAGACTTTGTTTGATCGTCTAGCCATAACCTGTAATGGCAAATCCAGGACACAATTCAGACCAGGGAAACCGTGTTTCTTCCCAAAAACACCTTCATAACGTATCTACATAACTAACAAATTTCGGTACCAAACTCTAATTAAAGGACAACCTAATCAGACAGAGGAAATATCTCTAAAACCTAAGGACTTTACTATAAGCAAGCTCGAGCACCACAAAAACAAAAAACTCGCAAATAACAGGACAACATAAAGCCAACAATAGAACAAGCCTATTAAAAAAAAAGATTATCCACCGCCAATGATTGGAGAATAACCATTGTTAGAATTGATTTAAACAAATAGACTCCCATCACAAAATTTGAACCAATCCAAAACCTACAAGAGCAACCAATCAATAGTAATCTGAAATTGAACAATACAAAAACAAATTCCACAAATTGATTATTATTGATTGTGATAAACAAACACACAAAACCCACCTCCAAAAATCACTCATAATTTCATAACTCAACACCAAAAAACAAAAAAACTCAAAAAAGTATTCATAAACTCCCTTCATCATCACGATGAAATTAAATTTCACGATGAGGGACGGAGAGAGTAATGTTTATGGTTCGTGTGAACTTTAATCCCCCATTAATCACGGTTAAGAAAGCGCCGCCAAAGTAATCTATGAAATTAAATTTGAAAAATTACTTCATAATCACGATAACAAAAATTATTTATTTGGATTAACAAAAATGAAACTTAAATAGAAAGCACAATAATTAAAGTGAATGGCATCACAGTAGATTACAGCACCCCATGTGATCCACCGCCACCGACACAACCCCACTTGCCAGACCATCTCTCCGTGACACACTCCTTTACACCTTCTCTCATCTCAACCGTCCATCACCGAATCCCATAAATCAACGGCTCAACTCAACCCCAATCTCACTCCTACCATACACCCTACCACACCATATCCCTCCACTTTACTCGTTTTCTTCACTTTACAGTGTGACTGTGACACTTCCTTTCCCAAACAACACCGCATTAATTCTCTCTCCTCCATAAAACCAAACCCAAAGTAACCAAACATACAAATTCATTCAACCAAAACACAACAATGGCTAAAATTGTTTCAGTAATTGCTCTACTTTGTGTTCTTCCTGCCATTGCTTTTGCTGCTAGGCCTGAGAAATCTCCTTTCTGTGTTCGTGGTCGTGTTTATTGTGACCCTTGTAAGGCTGGGTTTGAAACTCCCGCTTCTACTTATCTTCAAGGTTCGTCTCTTTCTCTTCTCTCTCTTATTCCAGATCTACTACTTTTCTTCATTTTTTTGTGTTAGATCTACTCTATAATACTGTTGTTTGCTCGGATTTGTTGTGATTGAGTTGGATTTGATGTGATTTTTGTATTTGTTTATGTTTAAAAATGTATTATATAAGTAATTGAAGCAAGTGTAGTACTGTCACGATCTTGAGTATGTTTAAACAAGTATTTATTTTACTTGAATTGACTTGTGTTTGACTAATTACTGATTAATTAAATACTTTTGATAATGGAGTTACTCCGTAATTGATTGAGATTGAGATTATTGTGGGTTTATTTATTGATACGGTTACTTCACTTTTCATTTTCATTTGATGTAATTGAATTACTGCGAGTAACAATTGTTTGTTAATGATGCACTCTCTGTATTGCAACGAATGCTTCTGTTGTCCCGATCCGCTCGTAGATAGAGATTGAGATATGGCATTTTGTTGTATCGATAATTAACGATATGACATGATTTTACTATCCCGATTCGCTCATTATCAAAGATGTGACATGATCTTACTATCCCGATTCATTCGTTATAAGGACGTCACATGGTTTTACTAAAATCAATGTAGTTAGAGGTGATTCAACATCCCATTACCCAATTGAACCATATATAGGGATTAGGGCGTTCGGGGTATTAAGGAAAGGTGCTACAATTTGTTTCAGAAGTCCCGGAATCATTCTGTCTTGAACTAATTGTCAGGTTGATCATTCATGTGATCGAGACGTAGTACAAATCATTATACGAATTGATAATGTATGAATGATTAATTGATTTTACTATTGGCTTTGATACGTTCTTTGGAGCATCATAAAACTAGTCTAGACTCCATTTGTTGCCTACTTCAAGGTCAGTTACCAGGGTCCAGGGATCAAGAGCAATGCATGATTATTAATATGGAATGTTGATTTGCGATTTCAGATGTGAAGGTGAAGTTGGAATGCCGCCACAGACACACACAGGAAGTCCTCTACAAGGCTGAAGCAACTACCGATGCCTCAGGTTCATACAAGATCTTTGTTGCAAATGACCAGAAGGACAATGTTTGTGACACCATGCTAGTGAGCAGCCCCCACGCAAACTGCAAATTGGCTGACCCAGGACGTGATCGTTCCCGTGTATCCCTCACCAGCAACAGTGGTGAGGTTTCTAACGAACGATTTGCCAACAACTTGGGCTTCACCGTGGAGGAACCCATGAGTTTCTGTTCCCAGCTGATGCAGCAATATGAGCTCACCGAAGATGAAGTATAGATTTTAGATTCGTCTTGTGAGAGCATGTTGGCTCGGTAGTATCTAAATATGTAATGCCTTATTATGCTCATCGCTTAGTTAATTATCTACCATTCTTCCTAAATACCTAAGATGAGCCACATTTGTATTCTTTGTGATTGGTTTTAGTGGTATGAATGTTCGCGATTTCAATTATCTGGAACTATATTGTATCAGTAAGTAGAATCATCAACAGTATTTATTAAATCTTTGTTCTTTTATCTGATATAAAGAAGGCACAAATATTATAAATAAGAAAGAACCATCAACATCTCAGTTGACGGGCATTCTTAATGTGGTGGTATTATCTTGATTCGTCTTCTATAAGGGCCTATTCTAATTGACTGAACTAAGGCCTGTTCTCTACTTTTCTTACGTTGAAATTCAATTCAATTCAGTTCAGTTCAACTCTTAATTTCCTTCTCTTATAAAAAAATTCAGTTCATCTCATCTCCTAATTTCCTTCTCTTATAAAAAATTCAGTTCAGCTCATCTCCTAATTTCCTTCTCTTATAAAAAATTCAGTTCAGCTTAGCCCAGTTCAGCTCAGTTTAGTTCAACTGAGTTCAGTCAATGAGAACAGGCCCTAAACTTATTGGAGCTGAATTTAAATGAACTGAATATTTTATGAGAGAAGGAAATTAAAAAAATTGAACTTAACTTATTAGAGCTGAACTGCTGAAGAGAACATATCCTAAGTGTTTGGTTTGTATAATTGAATGCAACAAACATGGTACATAAAAAAAAGTATGAAAATAACCTATTTTTAAAATGAAAAGAACATGCTTTTGAAATGTAATGAATGTAATATTATCATGTTATTTAATAATATTATAAATGTTTTTTATGTATACAAAAGTACATAAAGCTAAATATTATTTATAAAACATTCATATGTTCTTTACAAAATAAGTGCTTTATAAAGACCGGCTGTATAATGCTTGATACATAAGCTTCCACAAAGAAAATTTCGGAAAATAAATATGAAATCCCTTAGGCCCTGTTCTTTTGAGTTTCTTGGTAAAGCAGAGCAGGACAGAGCAAAGCTGGACATGACAGAGCAAAGCATAACAAGGTTAGGTTCCCAACACTATAGAGCATAGCAGAGCAGGGTATCAGGACAGAGCAGAGTAGAACAGAGCAGATCTGAAGAACAGGGCTTTATTAGATCAAACCATCCTAAGAATTTCGGGTTAAAACACTTTTTGACACTTCTTTTTCATTTTTCTTAGTATGTATTTTTTAAAAACAATGAGTTTAGTTTAGACCATTTAGTAGAAAGTAAGCCCGTTTTGAACAATTTGGATAGGTTAAAGAAAATTGTTTCAACCACAAAATCCATAAATGTTCATGATACTCACATAATCATTGATCCACCAATAATCTCTTTTTCGTGGAGGAGCTTAAGAGAGATTGTTGACCAGCTAAAATTAGAGAAGGAAAAAAGTCAATAACATGCCCGCAAGTAGTGATACTCATATAATCTTGTTTACCAGGAAGATCACGATTCACACGCAGTGGCGGACTTGGGCTTAGACCTGGTGGGTCAAGTGACTCACCAGGCCCAAAAAATTTTTTTAAGTTATTTTAAAAAAAAATAAAAATAAAAATCAGTTTTCCCCAAAAAAACCAAACACGAATTCAGTTCAAGACTTCAAGCCCTAGCCTTCTTCTCTTCGCGACTTCGCCTCATCTCCATTCTTTAGTTCGCCTCTTCGCTTCGTCCCAGCCAGGCAGCCACCGTTCTCTTCGCCTGATGGTCGGACGTCGGTGGTCGTGGACTCCGTCCTCTTCGTGGCTTCTCGCATAGTCGCATAATCGCATTTCGAAATCGCTACTCGCTAGTAAGTTGATTTCTAATTTTTATTTTTAATTTCTAATCTTCAAATTAATTCAGTCTGATTAGTTAATTTTATTAAACTTTGGTTTAAACTTTGGTTGATTTGTTAATTTGTAGTTGGCTGTGCTGCTGAATTGGCGAATTGCTGTCTTGCTGAGTGCGTGCCTCGGTGCCTGAGACTTGAGTGCTGTCGACTGCCGTGCTGCGGTGCTGGCCGACTGCCCGTGGCCCTATTGCAGTGCTGCTCCGCCTGCTCCGCTGCTCGCCTCCGCCTAGCAAGGTAGGTAATCAACTAATCATCAATTGATTCTTTTTGTGAAATCTGTTTTGTGTAATTGTGTTTTGTGTAATTGTGTTTTGTGTAATTGAAATCTCTTGAACTTATTACTTATGTGAAATCTGTTTTGTGTAATTGTGTTTTGTGTAATATGTTTATGTGATTATGTCATTATGTGAAATTGCTTGATTTAGACCATTTAGTTGAATATTTATTCAAATAATTTTTCTGGGGAATATTGCTTGATTTAGTTCAATATTTATTCAAATTTCAGAATGAAGAAAAAACGTACTCCAAATGAAATGCAAAACATTACTAGCTTCTTTGCTAAAAAGAATCCTACTCCAACTTCTCTTCCACATCCAACACAAAATGAACAAACTATAACTCCACCTCAAGAAAGTGAGCAACTTTCATCTCCATCTCATTATTCAACTCAAAATTCCCCTCAAAATGAACAAGGCCAATGTTCTCCTAATGCCCCAATCTTTGGAGAAAGATTAAGTGAACATGAATTTGCTAATCTTCCACAAGACCCAGGAAAGAGGAGAAAAATGAGTCAATTTCATAAAGATGATAGAGATTTAGTGAGAAGAATTTACATTCAAAGAAAGCCTTGTCAGCCCAAAGACTTTACATTTCCTCAAACTTCTATTTTTGGCAAAAATCGTCGCTTTTGTGCTAAGTGGTTTGATACTTGGACTTGGCTTGAGTATAGTGTGGAAAAAGATGCTGCCTATTGTTAGCATGGAAGATATCATGAATCGATATCAAAACATGAAAACTCGTCGAGAACTATTGTAATAAGTTTGCATTACTATTTAGTTGTCTTTTGTAGTATTATATGAACATTTGGTTGTATTTTGTACTGTTTGAATATTTGGATGTATTTTTTAGTACTATTATTTGGTTGTTCGGGATTTTTTTTTTTTTTTTACATACTTGATTATCGATTGTGACCCACCAATCGGAAATTCCTGGGTCCGCCACTGTTCACACGAAACAATAGAGCATATTCTTTGGCACATTCACTAAACATCAGTGATGTAAACGAAATTATCCCATGTTGCATTTAAAATTACAATACTTTTACTAATCATACGACTGAAGATTTGTATACGATAGGTTATAAGTTTAAATCTTTCCAACCCTCATTTGTAATTTGTATAATTGTATTGCTATTTTCGAATAAAAAAAGTGTTACTTTTACTTTGAATAAGCTGTGTGCTACGTAGTAATGTTAAATTATTGCGGAGTAATATTTTAAGGAAATGGTGGAAGTTTTTTTTTTTTTTTTTTTTGTAAAAAAATAATTTAATAGGTAAAACATTATTTGTGTTCTACTCGTAGCTTTTTAGAAGAAAATATAAACGTAAAATTAGGTCCATAATCCCTCAAGATTATCTATTATGCATGTGTTAAAGGGTTAGGTAGGTAGGTAGAACATAGACGACTTGATGTTGTTTGGTAACTATGAAGGGTTGCTAAGTTTGGTAAGCACTAATTAATTGATTAGTCCCTTTGAAAATGCACAAGCACAACTTTTGGTCTCTTTCTATTTGAGAAAGGCTAAGTTCATTCAACCAAATTTTTAAGCTGCGTACTAGATTGTAGTTTCTCAAGTTTGCTACCAAGTGTCACCTAACAAGTATTGTAATTTGCAACTCTTCCCTCCATTGCCGGCCCGAGGTAGGTTGGCCAACATGCGGTATTCATTATTGATTGATTCTATTGAATGATTATAATAACTAGAGATTTTGAAAAAGCGATTCGAATTTGAACATTCGTATGTAGAAAACAAGGGTTAGATTTTTCGTTTTTCTTATCAAATTGGATAATGGATCCAATTGATCGGATAAACTTTTACCTAGCCCTTGGTCAAATAAGTTTAAATCGTAAAAATTAAGGGGTTACAAGTTCAATATATAGCCAAAATAAGTTTTGTGAGTATTTTATAATGAGTTTAGATAAGTTTAATCCAACAAAAGAATGTTTAAATAAATTAAATTAAAATAATCTACTTGTATATGATTAGAAAAAAATTCATATGATTAACAATGCTCAGTTGAACACGAGGGAGAAAAATTAAAATTTGGACATAGGGCCTGTTCATATTTACTGAACTGAGCTGCACTGAACTGAACTGAGCTGCACTGAACTGAACTGATTGGAGCTGAACTAAGCTGAAATGAATATTTTATGAGAGAGGGAAATTAAGAGCTGAACTGAACTGAACTGATTGGAGCTAAACTGAACTGATTGGAGCCGAATTGAACTGAACTGAAAATAAGTAAATATGAACAGGCCCATAATCTAGTCATTTTTCATTACATGCATGATGCATTTTCTTGTGTACATAATATTGGCCACTATGCCTTTAAAAAATAATATTGACTATTATTAACATGAATACACTTTTAATTTCAAAAAATTACCTTATCTACGTACTATGTGCCAATTGACCAGATTGGTAAATAAAAAAGACCTCTAGCGACAATTTGGTAAAAAAACTTACTCCGACGACAGTTTGGTAAAAAAAGCTAACAATATGCGACAATTTGGTAAAAATAATAAACTCCGGCGACATTTAGACCAAAAAATCTATTTTTTCCCGACAAACTCTTTAAAAATCCTATTTTAATTTGTTTTTGTGTTCTTAAATTTATTTTTTTCATTTAAAAATTTGAATATACATGTCATCCCTTTTTATTTTCAACCCCTTTATAAAAAAAATTCGTTAATAAGGGATATGAAACTTAAGTGAAAATTGATACTTAACGTTTTTTTTTTCTTCAAATTGTTATTTTCGTAAAAAAGGTTGGTAAAATAACAAGAAAAACGAACTATATTAAGCATTCGCGAGTAATTTATCGGAATTTTTTGTATATTTTGGGTTAATTGTCGCCTGAGATTATTTTATTTACCAAATTATCGCTTAAGGTTATTTTTTTTACCAAATTGTCGTCGGAGTAGGTTTTTTTACCAAATTGTCGCTAAGGGTTTTTTTTATTTACCAATCTGGTCAATTGGCCACGTACTATGCAAGTCTCTTAACACACAATTTTCACCATTAATATTATCAATTATTCATTACCAATCTCATCTTATAAATTAATTTTCATAACATCATTTTCATAAAAAGTCAAATATAACAATACATACGAGTACAATATACAAAGAAATATAATCGCGTAAGCCTTGTAAAGTCGAGCCGTCATAGGCATAATACAAAAGGGTAATAGAGCATATACTCGTGCCAATTAGCCCACTTTCACCTTCTTCCAATCTTCCGTCCACTCCAATAGTCTAAGACAAATAAACCCAAAAAAACTTGTCAAAATCTACAACAACCTTGTAAATTTCAGGTGACTATATATATAAACTCCCAGTTGCTATCATTTTATTTCCCATTATAATCAAAATTAACACATTTTTTTTCTTTCAGTCTGCCAAATTCGAAACCCCGCGATTTCACTTCTCTTCGTCAACGTTCTCTCTCCTACCAACCTTCACAACTCAACCAATTTTAATCCCTCATTTTTCTCTCGGTTTCATCGAATATTCGATCTACTTTCCTTCATTTCGTAAGATCCCTCTCTTTTTACTCTTTTTTTCTTGATTTTTTTCATCATTTTTGCTTTATTTGGTTTTATTCTTCATTTAAATTTCTGGGATACTACCCATTTCTATCTTATTTACAAGAAATCGATCTTTGAACTTTAATTTGTAAGTTTGATTAATTGGGTTGTTGGGTTTTTTAGTTTTGATTTCTGGGTTGCAAAATGTTTGAAGTAGATGTACTGCCATTTGTTTGATTTAGTTGTCGCATTACTAGTTCAAATTTCGATATCAGCGTGACAGATTAATTTCAGACAGAGGGTATAGTTCTTGGTATTTGTGTTTTATCTGAAATGTAAGTTATGACATGTTTTTGGTTGGTGACGTATTATGCCCATAAATTATATTTGAGTGTTTGTTTTGAAATGTGACTAATCTTGATCATTCTTGTAATAAATGTTGCTTGCAATTTGATTTTATTTGAAGTATAAATATGAATGTTGTAAACATTATTTTTTGCGTTGAAATCTTGTTATGTGGAAATCTTTCGTAAATTTGCTGTATTAATATGTTGTAATTTACTGAATATGTTAATCTTGGAGTAGAATGAACGGATGTGATGTGCATAATCTTGTAATAATTGTTGAAATATTGAGTAATAATGCTGAAAATATATGTAATTTAATTGTGGACCGACTGAATTCAAAAATCTTGGAGTAGAATGAACTAATGTGATTATGGAATTATGCAATTTTTTTTTTATCCTGTTATGCTGTTCTGCTTTCGATTTTTGTTATGAACTTTATGTGTGCTTATTACTTTGTTAGATTAATTGTCTGTGTATGAATCATATGCGCGTAATCAAATGTTTGCACTGGTGTGTGGCTCAAGTGGCTGAATGTTATTGATTGTGCAATGTGCTATCCTTGAGTATCTTACTTCCTTCAATTTGCATTCAAAATGGGCAATAATATCAAGTGTTTTATGTAAAATATTCAGAATGGCTTCTATGGTGTTAAGACAAACTATTGGCGTCGTCCAATCTGCTGGTCCTAGCTGTAGTTATGGGCCTTCTAGCTGCCATCATGATTCCCAATATGCATCAGTGAAGTTTCTACCAAAGGTTAACAAGTTTAGTCTTGGACATTCAACAATCGACAGCTTCAGCTCCATTCAGAAGCGTTCAGGTGTAATTCAGGCCTCAACATCTCAAGTCTCGGCTATGGATACCATTTCATCGCCGTCAGATGACCTCACCAATGACAAACCCAAGAAACCAAGTAAGCTGTTTAGGTTTTTTGTCGGTTTTGCCTTAGGAAGTTATGGTTGGTAACATTCTGAAAAATTCGTTAGTTCTGCAGCATACATGATCAGATGGCTGAATACATTGAGTTGCATTGTTGTGTGATACTTTCCTTTTTGTTTGTTTTTGGAGAATGATTTGTATCTGTAGTAGCTTCTAAATTGTTTTTGAATTTCACTGACAGGTGAGGCATCCCTTATACTGATAAGACATGGTGAATCTATGTGGAATGAGAAAAATCTTTTCACTGGCTGTGTTGATGTGCCATTAACAACGAAAGGTGTTGAGGAAGCAATTGAGGCTGGCAAGAGGATCAGCAATATACCTGTCGATATGATTTTTACATCTGCTCTGATTCGTGCTCAGATGACCGCCATGCTTGCCATGACACAGCATCGACGCAGGAAGGTAATGTCCTGTGTGATTTGATTTTATATGGTTGTTGTGTTGTGGATACATTAGGATGTTTTACTTTCTATTGTTAGATCTCATGATCATTTAAATGATTGAGTGAGCCCCAAATTTTTCATGAACCTCTCGGAGTGCTGGAAGCTTAACTTACTTGGGTAATTGAGATTCTTGAATTCTAGACAATCCATTGCTAGGTTTAGAACCTTGAGTGGAAGATCTGAGAAATAAGTAGTTAATACAGCTTCAAATTTTTGTAAATTTGACCAAACATTTTCAAGACCAAATGAAAAGGCTCAAAACTTCCTTTGTTTTTAATAAACAGAATATGATTATGAACTGTTATGGCCAAAGGCCTTTGAGTCTTGCTAGAGCTTCTGGGGACTGCCTCCATATCTACTCTCTGGATTTTATTTTATGCCTGTGAAGCTTTCATGTCAATACACACCTTCACCTTATGCATAACTACTCTCTCCTTCAGGTGCCCATCATCATGCATAATGAGAGTGAACAAGCTAAGCAGTGGAGTGAGGTTTATAGCGAGGAGACAATAAGCCAGTCAATTTCAGTTGTCACAGCATGGCAATTGAATGAAAGAATGTAAAGCCTCTGGTTCTTTTTGGCTCTTGTCTTCATGTTTTAATTGTTTCGATGTGTTACATGTAAAATGTATGTGCTTTTCCAGGTATGGAGAGCTTCAAGGACTGAATAAACAAGAGACTGCCGATAGATATGGGAAAGAGAAAGTTCATGAGTGGCGTCGTAGTTATGACATACCTCCACCAAATGGAGAGAGTCTGGAAATGTGTGCTGAAAGAGCAGTCGCTTATTTCAAAGAAAATGTATTGATTTCTCCCTTGATACTATTTTGCTGGAAATGATTTTAGCAATCAACTGATCATGAAATGCAACTTGCAGATAGAACCCCAACTCCAAGCTGGAAAAAATATAATGATTGCTGCTCATGGAAATTCACTAAGATCTATTATCATGTACCTTGACGCACTAACATCTCAAGAGGTGCGTGTGTTTTTTACTCAAAAGGTTTTTAATGGTTTTATGTGTTTCTCTTTTAATCACTTAGCCATTTGGTCCAGGTTATCAGCCTTGAACTATCTACTGGAATTCCCCTGCTTTACATTTTCAAAGAAGGAAAGTTCATGAGAAGAGGAAGCCCTGTAGGACCCACTGAGGCAGGAGTCTATGCATACACAAAAGTATGCTATATTGCTATTCTTCTTTGTTTGGCATTTTGGTTCTCTTGGCTGGTTTCAGCTACATTCTTCTTGACATGAAGTTGTGTTAAGTCAAATAAATGCAGCCGCACTTTGATTACAACTTGCAAGCGCTTGAAATGTGATTATTTGAATCTTTCATATCATATGCCTTGTTCTGTGACTAACGTATATGATTTTCTGCTGCAGAGATTAGCTGTTTACAGGCAGAAGTTGGATGAAATGCTCTGATTAAAGATTTCATTTTTAGGCAAGTCTTCAACCCCTAGCTCTCTGCTGAAAAATTGTTGTAAACACAGTCCTGATCTGTTTCGCGGTTTCAGTCCTGATTAGCTCTGGTGTCATATGTTTCGTGTAGGTCTTTGCATCCGGTAATCATTAATCACACAACTGACTGGACGCGAAGAAAAATTGAAAGTGCAGAAACAAAAAAGTGGATATATCAACAGGAACTTAGATTGGAAGATCTTATAGCTGGTTTTTTCAGCTACTTTTTTTAGTTTGTTAGGCTTCAGTTTTAGGGTTATATGCCAATATGGCGCTTGTGATGGTTTGCAAGGAACTATAACATACGTAAAATTTGTTACATCTATACTTTTTTTACTTTCATTGTTTTGTAATTGTAAAATTTGTTAGTGATGCTTTGACAACCATGTTATAGCTACATTCTCAAGCTTACAGCTTGCTTCCTTATGCTTTTGTGCTGCTTATGCCGACTACGTTACATGGTAATGACATTAAGTTTTTGAACGTTGTAATTGGCATAGAATATATCCTATGCTATCTTTGTTTATTCTAGGTTGAGCAACTAACTACCTGTTAACCAATTAAACAATTTTAAAAGCTATTTTTATTTAATTGAATTCTCAATACTAGTATACTATAGGGTTGTGAGAAGGTTACATAGTCATGTGATGCAACCGTTGTATGAGAAATACTTTGTTAACCAATTTTATCAAAGTATCTATGACTTGTCAATATCTAACGTCTACTTTTTCATAGAGATTATACGAGAGAGACCACTTAGCTATTCGAGATGTGTCCAGGTGATTACGAAGTCCTAATTAGAGTTGAGGTACAAAGGAAAACTTACTATTAATTGAATGTTAAAACATCTTTGTGAGAACTAAAATGAGCAATGTTGAACTTTATTGACTGAGGAAAAATCACTGTTATTTGAATACAGTTTCAAAGGATTATTTTACATGTAAAAGCCATAAGAAAAGTTTGGCATATAGGGTAAATCAGAATAGTTGCATTCTTCATTTGTGGTATGACAAGATGGTTGTGGCAACACCCGGTTCTGACATCGACGGTCATATCCTCTCTTCCCCAGTTGTATTCTTCTGAAATTGAGGTGCATACTGCTTCACATTGTAAAAAAATTAACATGTCAAGGATCAACATGAATTCCATCAGTGCTGTTTTTCTGTTGATGAGGGCAGCAAAACTTGAATTGCATATTTGCATACATGATTCTGAAGAAAGGATTATTTGCAAGAATTTGGTCTACATTGTTAGTACATCATACCAAGAGATTAATCGGACTCAGTCTTAGCCTCTTAGCTTTCATATCAAGCTTTCATATGTTCAGGATCTTCAAGGCTCATGTTAGCCACTGACAAATCAGCATCTGGAGTGGACGATTGGGAATCCTCAGCAGTTGATGAAGATGGAGTACACCTACCATCATTTTCCGAGTCTTCTTCCTCGGTTGGATCATTGTTATGTGACTCTGAGCTCTCATGAATAAGACCATCACGACTGGGGGCAACAGATGCATCATTTCCTTCCTCCCAGTAAGAGCGATTTTTTTCATCATCCTCTTTCATTCTTTGAGCGTACTTTTGAATATCAAAACCTTCTGAACTATTCCCCCCAAATGCAGATTCAAGCTGGTCCATGTCAAAAAGTTCCTCCATGATCTTCTTGGAATTTTCGTCATCAGCATAAACAAACTTCACCTTCTTCCGAGTCTTAGGCTCCAAAAAAGGTTTGACTAACTGGAATGAAATAGAGGCACGGTTGCATTATTCAAAATATCTCCATCTAAGCTGGACTTTAAGTCTAAAAAGTATAGATGTACATTCTTGCACAAAATGTCGGCTTCATCAAAGTAAGAAAGGAAAAGCAATTACAGGGGTTTGAGACCTTTGAAGTACTCCAGAAAACATGTCATGCAGAAATAAGCGAAAAGATGTCCAGGAAGGATTAGTGCTATCAGATAAGGAAGGAATACCTTGTAAAATTGTTCGAAAAACTTAGGAGGATTATACAAAACAGCAACACCCAATCTTTCTGGATAATGGTTTTGTAGTACATGAGCAGTTTCTTTTGCTGATTTGACTGAAATATTTGTTAGATTGAAATTCCAAAAATCAACCAGCCAGACCATCTGCTCTTGATTAGGTGGTAAGTTTAGGATGGCATTTTCCATGCAATATACTAAGTATTTTATTTGTCCTGATACAGACCTTGTATTCTGCAACAAAAACACCCAAATCAACGAGTCGTTAACAAGGAGGCGAGTATATAAAACAAAATGATACCTCTCAAACAGAGAGTGAAAGAACATGGATTACATGCCACAGAGAACAAAAACACTAAAATCAAGCAGTCTTAACAAAGCTCAGCGAATGCCCATAGATATTCTTCTTTTATAATTTTCATTACCCCTTATTACAACCATTCATTATCTTTTTCATTACCACTAGGATATTAGCATGCATATCCACAAAGGATATTCCATCTGCAAGCTTAATATGATCCCTTAATTTATGACCTAACATCAGATGAGCCTGCAGGAAATAAACAAGCAGAAAAAACAACAGCTCCAACATGAAAACAAGCCCATTTATGACCTTACAAGGACCACCAAACACATAATACACACATCCACCATACCCTACATGATCTACATTCATATAAAAAAATATCATCTCATCTTTCTCATCAACAAGAAAATGATACCTGACAACTAGGACGCATGACCAGGACAGGTCTCCCTTCCTTATCAACAGAAGTTGATCTGTAAACTTTGCCCGAATCAGCTTCACAAGCAACATCTTCCTAAATCAATGAAAACAACATATAAAGCTTCAAGTTACAATCAATTTTCAACATTTATAAACATTAAAGCACAGAGCATAGAACACAGATACCCAACAAATTTGTTTAGTCAAAAGTTACAACTAGTTGTTAATATTTTTGGACAAAACAAGTACAGACCAGAAGAGCACACACATACCCAGCAAATATGTTCAGGCTTGTATTCTAATCTCCATTTCAAAGAATCTTTCAACATCTTTGTGGCCTTTTTAACATTCCAATTCCTTGCTCGCAAGTATCTTGAAATTAAATCATCAGAGCAAAACTTAGACAGCTTTTCAGGGATCGGACTTATTGCCGCCCTTACCTCACCAATCTGCAAATACTCAACGCGATTAAAACCCATATATAACAATGTCAGAAGGGTTGCGTTAGCTCCCCTTGCAAAATCAATTGAATTAACACGAGTCTACGAGCTTATGATGCTGGAAATTACCTTCTTTAGCTGTTCTTCATGTGGCAAAGATTGTTCATGGGCATTAGAAGCAGTCTTCTTCAAATTTGTACTCATCACTATTCAATGGACAAAAACAATAAAAAAGTTAGGAATACATATGTTATAAATATCATCATTCCACTTAAGAAAACTATAAAAATACAACATCTGTGACATACTAGAGTAAATTCAAAGCGTATTAGAGGTATTGGGATAATGTTAACATTGTAGAAATACAACCATTTAATAGTTTGTCTTGGTCATTTCATAAATTATAAGATACTATATGTTTATGGATAGTGATCAAGGCAAAGCTGAGAGCTGAGAGCTGATTACCCTAATAAAACAAGAAATAAAAACCATTCAAAATCTTTGGTACGTATCTTGCAGATTTTATTCGATTATAATTCATATAAGCCAAAATCACAGTCTAATACATCCCTATTGATCAAATTTGATATGATCAAATTATAATATTATTATTTTCTTCCATTTTTTGGAGGGTTGACTGAATTTAAGTTAAAATGGCAACCAATAACCCAAAAATCAAAATATAAATTATAATAAAATAAACCCAGATTAATCCAATAACCCTTTGATCAAATTCAAATTTAAATTCAAAATAAATTTCACAATTCAAAATCAGCAATGAAACAGGCAATCATACAAACAGTCAACAACCCCACAATCAAAGGTTTGACCAACAAGAAAATCTGATTAACATAATCATCATATTTCAATTATCCAAAGTGGGTGGTGTAAAAACATGTAAAATAAACATAATCAATCAAGCCAAACAAAGAAAAACAGAAAATAACATAAAATGGGCATTAATTAAAAACAAAGAATAAGAAGTAAACCTTATGAAAATCGTTTGTTGTTGGCAGAGACTTGAGTGTAAAAGCTAGAAAGAAGGAGAAAAATGGTGTGGAGGAGAAGAAGAAGGGCTGGGTTTCATGTGATATGTTGAGAAATTGTAGTAATATTAGAATTAAGGACACATGAATATTGAATTAGAGTTATTGGTGATTTTGTTGTTGGACTAGTCTCTCTAACTTTTTTCTATTTGTCCATTTTTGTTTTGGTTTTGGGTTGTGGCCCTTTTTCTTAGTCAACCGTACACGTTCGTATCTTGGATGCCTTCATTTATTTTTACTAGAAAGAGGAAAAATCGAAATGGTTGACATTAGCTAGTTTAGGTGGTAAAGTTTGAGATAATTAGAGCAGGTTTAGACGATTTAGTTAATTACATTTTGTACCACTTAGCGCCTGTTCTCATTGACTGAACTGAATTGAAATGAATATTTTTATAAGAGAAAGAAATTAGAAGCTGAACTGAACTGAATTTCAACGTATGAGAACAGACCCTTAAACTTTGTATTATATGGATTTTGGTTATATTCATAGGGAATTGAAATAGATTTTATATCGAAAAGTATCAATTAAATATACATTTTTAAAACCACCGCAATTTTAAATTTTGTTTTTATTTCAAAAATCTAAGGAAAAATTCACATTTACTACCAGCAAAAGCACCCTATGTCATATTTGCTACCCGTTTAAAAAAATATTTTATTTTACTACCACCTAAAATCACATAATTATAATTTCACTACCACTTAACGGAATCCGTTAAGCTTATTAAAAAAAATAAAACAAAGTAACCCAGCCACCCCCTCCACCTCGGCTGCCGCCCCCTTCCCCCTGTCGGCGGCCGGCGCCGGCGCGAACCTACCCCCTCCTTTCCCCCACCCTACGCAACCAACCTCCACCGGAAACCACCTTTTTCCCCTGCGTCGATCCCCACCGAAAACCACCTTTTTTCCCCTCTCTCCACCAGAATCGGCCCTTCCCCTTAATTGCTCCACCAAAATCGACCCCCCCTTCCCTTACCCTTTTCGGCTATCCCAAACCCTAAACCACCACCCCAAAACCACCACAAGCGAAACCCTAAAATTCGTTTAGGGTGGTTTGGGGCGGGTGGTTTAGAATTATGGATGCCCGAAAGGGAAGGGGATGGGGTCGATTTCGGTGTGGGGAATAGGGAGGGGGGCGATTTCCGATGTGGGAAAGGGAAAGGGAGTGGCTTCCGGTACAGGGTAGGGGTCAGGGCAGCAACAACGGGAAAAAGGAGGGGGGTTGTCTGCGTAGGTGGGGGAAAGGAAGGGAGTGGGGTCGCGCCGGCAGGGGGGTGTGGTGGGGTCGCGTCGGCGCCGACAGGGGGGAGGGGTGCAGTTGAGGGGATGGGTGGCAGTGAAGTGGAGCGGTGGCTGCAAGGTGGTTACACCCAACTAGCCGCTGTTGTGGGCCCTTCAAACAGAAACAGTAACAGGGTTAGTCACTAGTAGTTATTTCTACAGTTAGGGAATTATGGTGGTAGTAATATAAAATATATTTTTTTTAACAGGTAGTAAATCTGATACGTGGTGCTTTTGCTGGTAGTAAATGTGACTTTTTCCCAAAATCTAACTTGAAATAAAAAAATTGATGCCCACAAATGGATTATGTCAAAAACTTCCGTTTATGAACTCACTTCTTTAGTTCTTTTGGTCATGTTTAGTCATTAGCTTAGAGCTTGTTTTGATTTATTGAACTAATTGGAGCTGAGTTGAATTGAATAGAGCTGAAATGAATTCTTTATGAGAGAGGGAAACTATGAACTGAACGAACTGAATCGAACTAATTGGAGCTCAACTGAGCCGAATTAAACTGAAATTAAGCTGAAGAGAACAGACCCTTAGTAGCTGATTGATATACGAGTAGTTGATTTGACTAAATTGTTATAAATAATGGGCAGATGGGCTGTATAAAAGTGTTTGGTAAATATTAAATGCTACCTTTGTTCTATTTTAGATTATCATTTGGATCTTGTAAACAACTTAAAACCATCTTATTGTTTATTTTCATAATAATATCAAACTTTTTATAATTTTCTCACTAAGAATTAGAGATATTTTGACAAAGGTATATAAAAGAAACATGTCAACTAAAAAAGAACAAAATAGTTTTACCCCTTTATTCTTGAATATCTAACACGCTATGCTAAGCATATAGAGTAATTTTCTAAGTCATAACTATATATCTACAATTCTACATTGTCCTTGCCTCTCATCCAATTGGTCAGCAACCGAACATTCAAGGTCATAGCTAAATTTTCTAAACCCATAAGGCATAATTAAAAACAACCCGACTTGAAAATAACATGAACCAATTCCCTACCCATCCAACCGTTGGTCTTATTGCAAAGTTGGCATTGAGATGAGCTGGCCCGAAGCCCGACACTACCGCGTGACCCAACACGAAAAAAGCACGACACAACACGGTACTATACGTGTGGGCCACCTTTATTTTGTGAGATGCAGGAAAAGGCACTGCCTAAATCAATTTAATTTTGCTTAGGCACGTAAATCCGGAACGATGACACGTGGGCCTGGGCCGTGCACAGGCCAACCTTTTGAAAACTTCAACGCGAAACTCGTGGGCCGGCTATGTGCCGGGCCTAACAAACCCTAAAGCACGTGGGTCTGGCAGGACCCAGGACCGAGAGCCATCTTGATCTTATTGTGTTGGTATGAGGTGTGGCCGTGTGGCCTACTTTGGGGAACCAACAGTCTAGCAATGAGATTGTGCTCAGTTATAATTTGTCAACGACTTGAAAAGAAAATTCAGGCTGAACTCCTATATCTCAGCCATCACCCTGTAATCACTCACTTTCTCTCTCCTCTTCTACTAACGATTCGTTGATCACTCAACTCCCCAAAAATGTCAAATAGTTGGAAAATCATATTATCAGTGACATTATTTGCTACATTATTTGACATTTACCAACATCAAATTACCATTCCCTCTTGCAAAATTGCAAATGCTAATTCCAATCAAACACTCTTTGATGATTTTGACCATAATCATGAAGATTTAACAGCCATTCTTGTCTCCAATTTACTCTTACGCGGTTCTGATTCTTCATTCTTCGATTTGTTCTTCAGAGACTACTTTTTGTCCCAATTCTTCTCGGTATTTTCTTCTCTTAATCTTTTGAATTTGCCCTTTTTTCAGTTGTTTAGTTTTTGCAATATTCAATGTTAGTTGTTGCTTGAAGTTTGCTATTTATGGATTTTGTGTAAAGTGCTTAGATAATGTATGTTATGATAGGTAACTTCAACCTTATTTGCTGAAAGATGAACTGGGTTTATCCCTTTTTATATTGTAAGTGATACTAGTGCAATTTTTATATTTTATACTCTATGTGCTCATTTTTTTTACTTTAAGTACCCGTGTTGGATACCCGACACTCTTATGTGTTCGGAAACCTATTTTAAAACCCGAATGTTCGAGAAAATTGGTAGCTTTGAGTGACTTTGGGAGACGTACCACATACTGGTATGAGATACTTGTAAGTTACAGCTAGCCAAGTCCATTAGATAAGTGCTTAATTTAGGAGTAAAATAGGGTAAGCATAAAGCTTAATTCTTTAAAATTAATCAACAAAATGCTGCTTGATCATGAAAAGTTCCTAAATTCTAGTTTATGAGTTGTCTGACCTTATGTCAACTTAGTTTATCTTTATGCAAAGGATTGGTTTTGATCATTTGATCTGTTAAATTGTGACTCGAAATCTAGTAGGGTTTGACTTTAAAAGCAGATATCTATCAAACTACAAGCGATTTTGAGGTGATTCAAGTTGGAGGTGATAGCTTGGTTCAAGAGCTTTCCAATGATAGGTCATATACCCAATTCCAATAAGAAACGAGAAAGTTATGACCGTTTTACGAAAACCTGACGAAGCTGGAAATTTGCAACAAGGATGCGAGCTATAGCTCGGCCCTATGAGGACTTGCGGCAGGCATGAGCTAGCTGCCGAGCTATAGCTTGGTAGTTAGGTTATTCTAGGATAATTTATGGAATATTTCCTAAAATTATATGTTTTTTTATGACGGCTATTTGAGTATACTTGGGGAACAATCTTAGATTTTTATTAGGGTTTCCTTGTGTTATAAAAGGACCCTTTAGTTGATCATTTAGTTCATACCTTTTTTAAGCCATTAGATTTAAGACTCCTTGTATTATTCTCTTGTTTCTTTCTCCATTATAGTGAAGAAACTCTCGAATCCCCCACCTGTGGATGTAGGTCTATTTTGACCGAACCACGTAAATCCTTGTGTTGTTTGTTTATCTTCTTTATTGCTTTTCTCAACTCTTATTTTTCATTGATTTGTTCCGCATTAATCAAACACAATTACACCCTTATTTCCTAACATGATAAAATACGGGACGTAGAAGATTGTTCTATTGAATGACTTGCATTGTGAATTTGAATGTGCCTAAGTTAAATGACTATCCTATGTCTATATTATGTCGAAAATCATCATAGCTCGGTTATGATGGGAGGCCTTATTTTACCTTTGGTAGTTCATGGTAGACAAATTTGTACTTTAAGCTTCTTGAGGATTCGTCCTGACTTTTTATGTGACAAAATTTTCTTCAGAGCTTTGAAGGATCTACATTGTATTCAGTTATGTCACAGAAGATAAACATATGCATATAAGTTGTCTATACAATAGGGATAAGAGGGGGTTTCTTTTGAAAGCTACCTTTTACTAGACTTTATGTATCTTTTTGAGTTGTCTGTATTAGTTGTGTGATCCCTTTATGTTAGTTTCAGCTCTAACTAGTTCATCTTTAACATCAGCTAATATGATTGAAGCAGAAATCTTTTGATATTTTGAAGCCTGATATACTTTTAGTCCTTGGAGATGTTTCCGCTAAAGGATTTGAGTTGACAAGTAAAAAATGGTCATCTGTGGTAGAGCAATTTGAAAGGATTCTAGGTCCCTATCTTCACCTGCCTTTTCATGTTACTCTGGGTGACAGGGATATTGGAGAATGTAGTAAGTTGAAGGCCAGCTTAGTGCGCCGGGTTGCTAGCAGTTTCCCAGAGCTGAATCGTGGAGGCTGTGGTAGCTTTGGGATAAGCAATGTTAGTTTCATCTCAATCAATGCCATGGCATTGCTTTGTGGCAACAATGAACTTCTGTCAGATGTTGAGACAGTTATTGAAACAGAAAGTGCATACTTACAAACACAATCTGAAGATGGAGAACAATCAGTCAAATTGAATGCTGCTGATGAAGCTTCCTATCAGCACAGATGGAGAGATAATCCCACTTCACCGCAATCTGGCCCTGTCCTTTTGCTTCATATCCCCTTGCAACAAATATCAAATAGCTACTGCAATCAAGAGAGCAGCTCCAGTGCCATTTGGAACTCTCTTCCAAACAGTCTGAAAAAACTATGGAGGTGAGTTTTCTTGCAGATGTTTTATAAAAGTTGGAGGGATCACCTGTCTTTCCTTTCATCTTTTGGAAATAATATAGCTCTTGTATTCTCGGCATTTGCCTTCAGTTTGATTCATTATTCGTGTTCATGTGTATCTTGGTCATGTTTGGTGTCTAAAATCACCATTTTTATTTACTATATTCTTGTTCTTCCATGTCACATGTGATGAGATACCGGAATGCTGCTTATAAAACAATTTGCTGAAAAGTTAGAATGAAACCTAACCTGTAACTTGTATTATGATTGTTTTGTTTTGCTCGATGCTTTGTTGGGGATGGCATATAGGCTTAAATTAAAAATTTAAAACCAAATAGTAAGAAATACAAATATCCATACTCACAGAGTTTATGCTGCTTTGTCAGCAGTTTGCTGTATGTATTTTGTATCGCAATGTTGCACTTATCAGGAGGATCTATGTTGTATCTTCTTGTTGCCAGCTGCCTGTCACTACTTTTTTTGCTCTTGATATATAGTTCTGCAAACAATTGAATTTCGTTGTTTTTGAGTTAATATGACATTAAACTGCTTTCAGGGCTGATACCGATTCTGGACCATATGACTTGCTGCACACTATTCCACCAAATGCATCTGAATACATCTTTCAGGCACTTAAACCTAGGTATTGCTATGGTTTTGCACCTTCAAAGCATCTTACTTGCTTCCCTTTTTTTAATTGTCTGTTTGCTTCCTTCTTTTAATAATCCATAATAGTCTAGAACCCTAGATTTAATTGGTGCAATTACATTGCTGCTAGTTATTGGTATGATTAATGAATGGATACAGAAACACTGCTGAGTACCCTTCTTATTAGCCTTATTACCCTTCCCCATCAGTTTTCCTCTCTTTTGATGATATATATTGGGTTTTTAATGTCTTTGAGTTTCTTATGCGTTCATAAGACCTATGTTACATGGACTCATCTTCAAGAATTTAATATTGGTACATCATCATAGAACAAAAGTCTCTCATATACATTTTTTTCTGTAAATTGAAGTGTAAAGTGCTCAAAAGGGACACCTGACATGGAAGAAGTATCCATGTAAGATATTTTTAAACTGCTTTCAAGTGAGTGACAAAGATTTTTCTTTTCTATGCTTTGCAGGATAATTTTCAGTGCTCACAGCCATAAATTTTGTGATGTTAAACATCCTGATGGGACACGTGAGGTAACAGTTCCAGCTTTGGCCTGGACAGCAAAGGATGATCCCGGTTTTATTGTTGCTACTTTCAGAAGGAATGAAGCAGTAGTTGTCAGGCACTGTTCCCTCCCTAGAGAATCTCATGTTGTGGTTTCATTTATCGCCATTTTTGTTCTATCAATATCACCTGCTGTCATAACAATTTTACTGCATCGACTGAATGTAAGATATGTTGGGTGATATGTCCTCCACGTTTTTGCTTTATTTCCTGGAAAAAGAAAAAAAAAATCTTCTTTACTTATGAATTTTGTTCATATGCTTTATGCTTTACAGTTTGTTAATCTTCCCTTCATGTGATCTGTTCTAGCAGAAATCAGTTAACATCAACACTAGTCTCTAGGAAACGCTAAAAACTAATTTAGAAGCTTGTTATTGGCACATCACTTCAACTACATAAACTCTCTATGAATTGTAATTCATATAAGCTCACAGCTGACTGTTGGTGCTCCCAACTCTCAAATGGTAATTTTTCTTCTCCTTGCACCAGAAAATAGCCGCTGCCTTTAATTATTACCAATCCATCCTCATTAGCTTTTTGTTAATGCTCCCAGAGGCTGACATCAACTTCAATATCTGTTGATTCTCTTGCATCTAGACGTTTGTTTTGTAATCCTATATTTGTATCACTTATGTCAAAGGACCTATGCATTTGAGCCCTCAGGTCGAACTCTGAGACTAATGCGTAGCATGTGGAGCCCATGTGAGCGCTCTGAGAATTTGATGATTGATTCTGGTAGAGATTGCTTTGGGCTGAGTAAAATTAATTTGTCTTTTTGAGTGCTTGAGACCATATTCAACTATATAAACCTTTCGGCCTTTTATAAATTTGGTTCAGGACTCTTGGATAACCTGATACCTGAATTTGGGCCTCGTTGGTTCTCATTATTGGCACTTTAGGATCCCATGTCATTGGTAAATGGTAATTTCCTACCTATAACAAATGATGGACTTCTTAGCACATTAAAACATTAGTGGTGGTTCTTGTGTGTTTGTTATGCTGAGAATTGAAGATCACTTTTCTTTCATTTGTGAACTCATGTATTACCTGAATACCTGGATTATATGATTGCTGAAATTGTTTTTAGCAAGGGCAGTCCCTGTAGTTTTCTCCTGGATAACCCATAGGATTAGTCGAATATTTCCATCCTGTTTGTCAAAAGCTATATCCAGTGGGGATCACTACAGAGAAGCATGAGGGCAACTCAGAACCTGTGCAACCCTGTAACCAGAAATTGTTGCTACCTTGTATACCCAAGTTTGACCTCTATTGGTTTTTTTTTTCCCCATAGTATTGATCTAATCCCATTACCTAAATCACAAAGCCAACTTCTTTAGCTATGTTCTCTACTGTGACGAACCCCAGCCCACCACCTATGTTACTCATATACAGTAGGCTGTAGGCGCCAACCCAAGCAGCAGCCCAAACAACAACCTGAGCAAGTTGAGCAGACAGCAGGAAATCATGCCAACACCAAGTAGTGGATGGGTAAAGCAACTGTTTTGTCAGCGTGGATATGGATAAGCTTCAGCAATAAACCAATTGTTCTAGGTAGAAACTTAGGGAATTGGGTAGAGGATATAAATATCAGAGAAGGGAGAGTTGAACAGCTATTCAGAAATTTGTAAACTTGGGCATTTGGAGAATGGTGGCCAACTGTTAAAGACAGTTTATGTGTCATTTCATTAATCAAAGGTCTAATCTTTCTCTCCATTTTGCAATTTCTTTGAGTCATTTACAAATATTCTGAATTTTTTACGACAACTTCATCAATTGAGGGTTGAGAGCTTGAGGGCTGACATGCATTCTCCAGTGCTGTACCCAGAATGATACTTTATGCTGCTAAGGGTATCACTTTTGGCTGTTGACAGAAGGAGATGCTTGTTGTTATTGCAGAAGAACGAGCTACTTTCAAGTGCCAGATTTTCTAGTTTGGACAATCATCAAAATGGCCTAGTCTCATCCTCACTGAGAACAGATTGTGGAGTGTCCTGTCAACCTCCTCCTCTCAGAGTTTGTTCTGTTGCATTGCTGCTTTGTCTGCTTCCACAGGTAAGAATCCCAGTTGATATCCCTGCTTATAATTCAACTAGTTATAATATCTTTGAATAGGGGTTGATACCATGGAAACTGTTGTTTTAATTTTAAAGTTCATCATTTTTTTTAAAGTGTTTAAGATACAGTTTTTATCATGAGACTAGTTAGAGCCTTACCACCATCCCTCCTCTCCCCTTTCCGGGTTATTTATTTTAGATTGCTGTTCTCGGGAATTAGTCAATAGATTGGCCTGTGGAGATGTATTGGATTTAGGATTCATTGGTTTTAAAATGAAAGCAACAAGTAAAAATGAGTTAAATGACTTGTCTAGATTTCTCATTACCAATCTTAAAAATATTGGTGTCTCATCATGGATGATTGAAAGTTTGAAACAGCATCACAATCTGACATGATATACCTTATCGACTTCCAAACAAAAAGTTTCTGCATCAAATTACACTTTTAAAATTCATTATTTCTTAAGATGAGATCTAAGCTTAACTCATTGAGAACCCCCACATTTACTTGCAGTTTTAAGTAAGAGATCTCAGTCAGCATAACTAAAGGGTCTGTTGAGTGATTTGAGTCATTGACATGGTTGTGGCACATATTGAACCTCTTGCTCTTTGTTTCTTTATGTATTTTTCAAATAACCATTGGTACATATTTACCATATCAGCTGACACCTGAGAGAAGAAAAAAAATTGTGAAACAACTGTTACTCTATAGACCATTGTAGACTTGCTTCCTTGCTGGCAAGCAGTGGGTCTTCTCTTGGCCTCTACATCTTGGGTCCCTAATCATCATTTCCCGTCAGTCAAACATATATACATATATATATGTGTGTGTGTGTGTGTGTGTGTGTATGTGTGTAACACACACATTTGGTGTCCAAATTTTCATGCCTATTGCTTCTCCCTCATTATACATTGCCCGTGCTTTTATTCCTATGGCTTCACATATTCATACCCTCTGATAAGTTTGTATAGACGTTCCCATGTTTTAGTTCATATTGATTTTTTATCAAAAGATTTTTTATTGAAACATGTTTAGATTTTTCTTTTTTTGTTTTTCAAAGATACAGATTAAACATATTTGATACAGCTCTATATTGCCATGACTTCCATTTACCCATTGACTGTAGAGTGCAAATTTCTAGTCCCATGGGTTGCATGAGTTCCTAATGTAGGACTTTGTAAAATAGGTTTCCATTCAACTGATTGTGGGTGTAGTTGAGATTTGCAGACACCATTGCAGGTTATGGTGGCTGTGGTTTTATATAAAGGGGAATCTGGGTGTTTTGGCTTCTTGTCTGAGACATATGTGTATGAAATTAATTGGGGGGAGGGGGGTCGCGTTTCACCTTTCTTTTATTTCTCACCTCGTGGACATTGACTTGACTTGAAGAATGTAATAGACTAACCTAAGGAGGGGCAATATTGGTAGTCTAGTATTATTAGAGGTTAGAGTCTTTAGCTTTAGTATAAACAGAGAGAGGGGAAAGGAAAAGATAGGCAGAAAATTGTATTGGAGACCCTTAGAGAGTTATGAACTAAAGCCATTGTTAGAGAGTGATAGCCTAAGGCTATTAAGCCTATCTTTTTGTAAGTATTTTGCCATTTTCAATCAACTTCAAGCTTTCATATTTTTTTCGTTTGCCTTATTTAATAAGAAATACAAAGTCAGATAAGCAATCTATTACAAAGAAAGACACTTGTAGATACTTTTCTGTGTAAACATGAACACTGTTTAAAGCATACTTCATCTGATGCATATTTGTGTTTTAGATTACAGAAATTAATGAACAGTTTGCTTTCTCAATAGCTTCTGATTTCCAAGTTGTAGTAGAAGAAAGAGAAGCATATTTCATCTGACTCACGGGTCCCACTATAATTTAGTAACCCAGCCTAGTATTTTATAGATCATCACTGATCCTTCACACTAGCTGAGTAGTTGAATCCTTTGGTGTGAGAAGTTTTGAATGAACAACTTCTGGTGGGTTGGTGTTGATGTTCATGGAGTTTTCAACAATAAATCACCAGTCAAGCAATTTGAACGGCGATTGGAAACTCTTGATCACCCGCGACTAAAAAGTGAGTGCCTTCCTCTACCACCATAAGCCCATCTTCGTCAGCTCTGCTCAGGTGCTCACAAGGGCTGAAATTAAACAGGACCTCTGTTTTTTCCCCTGCTTTCAAGTTAACACTCTCAAAACCAACTAGCTTTTTCATTGGACTTCCATTGGTTGTGTTTTCTTGCCTAGTGTACAACAACACTGGGTGTTTTCCTTCCATATCCCCTTCATTTTTCACTCCAACAGTTGCTAAAAATTGCATTGTCTTACAAGATTCTGATTCCATATCAGCAACAACAACATTCCTCATTGAATCAAAATTCTTAGCCACCTTGGCACTTCCCACTGAATTCAAATTCAAACTTTTTTGAGGAACTGAAGTGAACTTGTATTTGTAGGTTGTATAGCTGAGACCATGTCCAAATTCAAAGACTTTCCTGCCTCGGTAGAACCTATAAGTGCGCCCAGGGTAGCCTTTGGAAGGATCTGCTCTCATCCTCATGTCTGTCATTGGCACTTTGACAAACTGCTGTGGATACCAAGTCATTGGTAATTTCCCACCTGCAATGATCACAAGTGTTAATTAGTTGTAAATCCAAAAACTTATTATTACTGTCACCCCAAATTTGAGAATTAAAGTACAAACACCATTAAAAATAATGATCCTATGTCAACATTGGCTGTTGGTTAGGTCTGAGGAAATCCTCATGTATATAGGTAGAGTAGATCATGGTACATGCTCAGCCATAGAACATAATACAACCCATTTCTGGCCTAGGGCTTTGGCTGGAAATTTTCTGCCCTAATTGAAAAATCAGGTCAGGCTGGTTTAGACCAAGAAAAATAGTCTATATGCAAGTTAAGCCATACTCAGTTCTATATGTAGTCTTGTCCATGAACACTCTGTGAGACAAGAAGCGTTTAAATCATTTTTTCAGAATCTAATACTTCGTAGTAGATAAGCACAATCAATTTTAAAGAGAAACTCTTGTCACAATCAATTAACCGAACTCCTTTTTTTTTTCAAATCTGAGACTAGTGTTTAAATTAACTCACCTGGGTTGTGATCTCCAAAAATGACTTGTGCGAGTGCAACACCGCCTGCTTCACCAGGGTACCCTGCCCAGATGATACTGCCAATGTGTGGATCTACTTTGGCAAAACTTATATCAACTGGACCACCCGAGAGGATCACCAATACCACTGGTCTCTTCGCAGCTCTAGCCACCTGAGTGATGAGGTTGTATTGTTTACCTGGGAGCACCAAGCTTGTGCGATCATAGTCTTCTCTTTCTTGCGTTTGATCCAGTCCCATTACCAGCACAACATAGTCTGCTCCCTTGGAAATTGCCACAGCTTCTTGGATGGAAGCGGCGGAACAAGCCACATTGTTGCATCCTGGGTGATATCTGCACAAATAACAAATGAAATGAAGTTTGTTGTTCTTAATTGAGCATCTTTTGATAACATCAGACAAGAGCAGATTTGAATTTTAGGTAGTACCTTGTGTTCTTGACATAGCTCTGCAATGCTTGAAGTGGGGTAATAGAAGTGCAAGGATGCCCATGATAATTGCCAAGAAGCGTCTCAGCTTTGTTGGCATTGGGACCTATGACAGCGAGGGAGGAGGGTTTTCCCTTGGGTAATGGGAGTAGCTTGTTACTGTTCTTTAACAGGACGATACCAGATTGAGCAGCCTTGAGTGCTAAGGCCCGACTCTCCCGGGTGCACACTTGAGCGGGGCCAATACCCCCAAATATTAGTTTTTTTGGGTTGCCATCAAACAAACCCAACCTCATTCTCACTGCAAACATGTTTTCAAGTGCCCTGTTTACCTGTGCTTCTGCCACTTTTCTTTGTTGTACTGCTGATTTTGTGTAGTTTTTCAGGTAGGAACCACAGTTTACGTCCATTCCTGCATATTAGGAATTAGTAGTTACACTAGTTAGTTCTTGATTTTAGTAAGACTTGAAAGTGGAGAATGGCGCTATTTGTGTAGGGAAAATCATAATTACCAGCTTTTAGGACATCTGCTACTGCATCTTCAGGTGTTTTAGCATATCCTTGAGCATCATGTATTATCGAAACTGCATCACAGTCTGACGTAATATACCTGATGCATTACTATAGATATTAGTGTCTTGTGGATTATAGTTATGAGGTTACTAAATGTCGAACATTATATTAAAAGTACTATCTACATCCTATCTTGGTCTCAAATAGGTGTAATTGTCTGTTATTTGATTAAAAGCGTATTCTTGATGGACATTACCCATCAAAAGCCCATTTTCCTCGAGCGGTTTTAGTTAAGAGATTGTAATCAGCACAATTAGGAACTCCATTGACACGATTGTAGGCACACATTATGCCACTGGCTCTTCCTTGGTGTATGCAGCTCTCAAATGGAGGCTGGTATGTATCTGCCATATCTTGTGCAGTCACCTGCACATACATATTTCCATGAAATAGAATAAGTTATCTATTTGCATAGAAATGATACCTGTACTGTGCTATTATTTGAGTGCACATATTGTTTCCTTGTGCTGTCTAGTTAAGGGATTCTTTTGAAAATTTTAGAAATATACTATAATAAAATCAAGGAAAATTTGTTATAAATGATCGTTTAAAGTGTAGGGGATAAATCTGTATGACACGAGGATCTGCACCTTTAATGATTCTCATTTGGTAAGATTCGAACTTCAAATCTTAAGGAAAATAAGGTTAAATTCTTGATTTTATTATGACGACTTACAAGTAGTGGAGTCGTATAATCCTGAACCTTTTGTCCCTAGATATGCTGGTATAAGACAGAGTAACACATAAGGCGGTGTTTGGGGTTAAGAAGAAGAATCTTTGAACAATGTTCCAAATCAAATCTCATGCTCCCTTTTCCCGATGATTATGGGGGGGTGTACCACTAGTCACAACCATACAAAACTTAATAAAGGATGTGGGGTGACGCGGAAATTAGTAACATGGTGCTACACCTCGTCATCATTTTCGGCCAATGAGAAAGCAACACGTTTAAACTAATTTTAATTACAGTAGGGAATAATGTTTTTTAGGTACAAGTATAATGTAACGTAAGGGCCTGTTCTGATTGACTAAATTGAACCGAGCTGAACTAAATATTTTATGGAAGAAGAAAATTAAGAACTAAATTGAACTAAAAATAATTTGAAAAGAACAGGCCCTAAGTACTTCTAAGCTGATTAATTATGTAAATTAGTTATAGTGTTTGTCCAAAAAAATAGTCTGAAATAAGTGAAAATTGCATAGCATGGTTGGTTAGGAGACTTACATGAGCATCAAAGACATAGCGAGTGTTACCATTCCAACGGTCCAAATCATACGCTGTAAAGTGTTTGCAGCACGCAGACGCCTGAAGGCGACCGAGAGGCCGGCCGCCTCGAAAAGAGTCACCTTGCAAGCCTCTGACAAAGTACATTGCATATTTGCCCGTCATCAAAGGGTCTTCCCGGGAGTCTCTTGACCTCGACCCCATCTTGGATCTCTAAAAATGTTAATGTTAGGTGCCCAAAATGTCATTCCTCGTGCTTGTCCTTGGTTGTATACCCCTCTTGCTTCTTTTCCTATTGCCTTCATTTTCACATTATTCAATTAATATGTTGTCAATAATCAATTGTTGGGCCTTCTTTTGTTGGAAAATTATTGGCATTTTATTGAATTTTCTCCATCAATAACCAACTTTATGAAATCATGATGTATCATATCTTGAAAACAATTCTATAGTGAAGTACTCATTATTATTGTTACCATTTTACATGATTGGGTAATTAAGGACTGTAAGGATTAATGAGATGACAAATAGCATATTTCATGTTATTACAAAATTTGTTTATAAACCCACGTAACATATTGCGTATGAGTAATTGCACATAATCTAAAACTTACTTGAATTTACTAGACTTATTATAACTTATTTTGGTTGTAAACTTAAGCAACTTTTTATCATCCTTATCAACTATTATCGAAACTTATTTTTTATGGAATAATATGAACCATTGGCCATCGTCCTTAATCTATGTTAAACTTTATTTATTCCAAACAATTTAAGTACTCCATAAACAAAATTGGACTACTGATTCCACCGTAGAAAGAACAACTTCCAATAAAGAGTGTAATTAGACAGGATAATCAATGCAAGTAGGACATACCAAAGCAGAAAGTAAAACAACCTGCTGGACTATTGGACCATTGAGTAATACTCCCTCCATTTTCAATTATTAATCTACTTAATTTCTTTCTATACCACTTAACATGCTACTTTTTTTTTGTTTGAAATAACTTACTAGGGAGTATTATGCTACTTTAACATCATCAAATATCAATGTATTATTACTCTGTTTAACATTATCAAATATCAATGCATTATTACTCGGTTTACCGAAACTTACAACTTTGTATATGCTACTTAACAGTATAACATGACAATGATATAATCTGTTTGCACAAATTTGACAGTCACATTAAAGAACAGAGAGATGGAGTATGACTAATTCTATAACTCTATTCAGCTGGATTTAATACTCACATTTACAATTTGACAGTGATACCACCTTATCCTAATTTGGATAAACAACAACAACAACCAAAAAAAAAAAAAAAAAAAAAAGGTTATTACATTAAATATGCAATTCTAGGAATGGTAAAATTACCTGACCAATGCGGTACCAAAGTTGAACATCAAATGAAGCAGCAGTAAGAATAACTTGAGGAAAACTAGTAGCACCACGAATACTACCATTAAGAGAAACACCGGGACCGGCATCGGCTACCCCGTGCAATGCCTCGGACCACCATTCGTAAGCCGGGATGCCGAGGCGGGGGATAGCAGGGGCAGTATTTACTAACTGAGAGGCTTTCTCGTCTAACGTTAAATGCGCTACTAAATTTTTGGCGCGTTGTCTAATAGGCAAGTTTGGTCTACAAAATGCGTATTTTTTAGTGGTTGGATTCGATGCATCGCAAGCGAATGGCGGCAATGCCGCTGTCGCTGCCTCGATGTTGGCTAGAATGAGTAGTAGGACTGTCGTAAGGACGGTTGCCGAAGAGGCGGAGTTTTGAAGGTTAAGCTTCATTTTGGGTAGTTTTGGTTGGGAGTGGGAAGGAGCGTTAAGTGGAGTGTTATAAAGGAGTTGTATGTGTATTGGATTGGTTCATTCGGTGTGTAAAGGTTAAAAGACAGTGATACCCTTCTGCTTCCTACCTAAATGGCATTTTATTATTTGTATTAACTTCGTTGATTAACTTTGTTTCCAAGAGAATTACTATCTTCGTAATTATAATCCGTAGTTGTACTATTTAAAGTCTTCTGTGGTTTAAAAAGCAACAAATTGAATGATGAGAATCGATCTTAAAATTCTCTAAAAGTATAATGTGGTTAATCAATTGTTCGACACAATTCTCATGTGGATGACTTCCTAAATTGGGGGTTTATAATGGTTAAAAGTGGAGTTTGCACCTAGAAATCAAGAATTACGAGATATGGTCACGTTTTATTACAATTTGCTTGAGGAAAAGTCTGATTCATCACAACTTCACAAGTCACTGATAAAAAAAGTATGTTTCTGTTACTTCGCATTAAAGTGGCTTTGTACTGTTATTAAAAACAAGAATGGAGGGCACACACATTATTACAGCTAACTAGCTAAGTTATTAAAAAAAAGGATTCTCGCACGCACATCAAACTTGCTAAGTTGCTATTAAAAATAAAGTCCAGTAAACGAACCTGTATTCACAGAGCATAGCCCAATTAAATGAGCCCAAGCTAAAGTTACTTACTTAGCCCAGCCCATGTCACTTTTTTATTATTGGCCCAACACTTGGCCCAGAATTAGATACCAACAACAACAATTTGATAAAAAAAAATAAAATAAAAAATAAAATAAACAGATAGTCAAGTTTTTTCTTATGTAATTTTTTTTTTTTAGGAAATTTTTCTTATGTAATTTAGAAAATGAAAGGAGATATAGTAAATTATTTGAAATTATAAATTAAAAAACAAAACAAAAGTTGAGAAAAAACGCATAGAGTAACAACTAACAAGAGAATTAGTTTTAATACATTTATACATAGGGGTTATTTTTACCTCTCTATTCTTCTACTTCCTCCGTTCTTTTATTATTGCACCACTTGCCTTTTTAGGAAGTTTCACAAATATTGCACCATTTCCTCTTTTAGGAAAAAAATTATTTGTGTTCACACTACAAATACCCAACATACCCTTACTTTTTAGTTTATCAATATGTCACATGGACAACTTTGTATTTTTACCTTTCTCTCTCTTACTTTTTTCCACTACCAAAATATTTGCACCAAACTCTTATGGTGCAATAATAAAAAAAAATGGAGGAAGTATTATTTTTGCTTTTTTTTTAGGTATAAAGTGAAAGGGGGTTTTGGGTGATAAATTTTTCATTCCCAAAATACCTCTCTTATCTTTTATTTTATTTATATATAAAAAAATTAAAAAATAAAAACATTACCATCAGCCAAAAAATCTACTATCCTTTATTTTTTAAAATAAATTAAAAGCTACCTATTTTTTATAATTTTTTTCAATCCTTTTTTTTTTTTTTATAGGGAAGTCATATCTTTCTATTACCTCCATGATTTCATCAAATTTTAATTTAATGTACCTGTGTGCTGTGTCTCACTGCTTGTATTAATATTGAAAGAAAAGAACAAAGAATTAAAAAATATGAGTAACTATTTTAAACCTTCATCTTACTATAAATTAAAATATATGCATGCATCATGAAAAAGCGTTTAAAATTATCAACGTAATAAGTTGTTTTGACCATTTTGCCCAAGGATAAGACGGTGGAATTAGATTAGGATGAGATTATGACTTTATGAGATATATTTCTTATCTTTAAACCATCACAAATTACGTCATTTATTAATTTAATTGCTCCCTTAATCGTAGTTGTTGTAACTAACTATGGTTAAACTAACGGCGTTAGGGCCCCACAACGTTAAGTGTGTCCCAGTAGTAAAATACAAGTGACCACATTGATATTAGGCCAGCGAAGCAGGAAAATGGAGAACGAGATCACTGTGTGCACGTGGCGTGACATGGGAGCTCCTGAATCTTATGTGGACACCCCAAGGCCTCTCCAGCTGTCCTCCTATGGTTGCCGACTTCGAATACGGTAGGCTTTTGGGATATAGGGAGTGTTCGATAACTAGTACTAGATTAGTCTCGTGCGATGCACAGATTTCTTTGAAACATAGAGTATATATTTTATGTATTTTTACGTATCAGAAAAATTATTGAAAAATAACCATTAGTTTTAAATGTTAATTTTATAAAATTAATTTTAAAGAAGAATAGACCGAATAAATCGAATATGAAAACTTAAGCATATACATAAAATTTAGATTTTTAATATACAATTTTAATTAAGCAAATAAAAAAATAATTTTAAACTTGTAATATATAAAGGAAAATAGAAAAAAAAATATATACATCAAAGTATTTTGTTTAATGAAACATAAGGGAAAGATGTATTAGATACCAATAGTTGGTGATAGAAGAAAAATAAATAAATTAAAGAATATAGATTAATTGAGAGGAGAAATTAAATTTGAAATTTGAAACCAAAGAAAATATAATTACGTTAGACTTTTATTTAGGCGGAAAATTTTTTCTTATAAAGCTGTCACGTGGATAATATGATGTCAGCGGTTATTTCTTTAGTTTATTTATAGATTCGAGCTCGGGCAGAATATTTTGGTAATATCTTCGTTTTATATTATTTATAATAATTTGATATTAAAAATTACTCTCTCCATTTCCGATTGATAGTCTCTTTTGCCATTTTTGGTGATTCAAAATGTTAGTCACATTTGCTTTTTTCAAATACCATTAATATTATTTTTTACCAAAATTCTCTAACATTTGCAAAAATATTTGTGTAAATTTAACTTTCCCATGTAAATTTTACTTTCCCATGTAGTGTAATTACTTTCTCTACTTTTTTGCATACCCAATGTGAATTTACTTTTTCAATATACTTTCTTTATTTCTCCTTAATTCCCGTGATTTTTTTTAGCAAAAGTGACTATCAGTGGGGGACGGAGGGAATATTTAATCATTACAAATAATATGAAACCGAGGTCGTGAAATAGAGTATAGTAAATAATTATAAACTTTAATCATTACTCTTTTACAATTATTAGATTAATCTTTTAATTGAGTTAGTTTTTAACATTGTATCAGCTTTATAACTTAAGAACTACTTCCTCTGTTCTTTTTTACTTGACCCGTTTTAACTTTTACACTATTCACCACCTCTCCTTTGACGTCTTTTGTGAATGATATGTAAGGAAAAATATATTCATATGATATCTTTTTTAATTCGTCTCAATAAGTACTATCGTAATATACAACTTTTATAATTTTTATTTATGAAGAATTAAAGTTATTGATCGCTAAAATTTTACATTGGAAAACGTAATAAAAGAAATTGGTCAAGTAAGAACAGAGGAAGTATGCCTCTATCATTTTTTATTTAATACCTCTTTTTATGTTATAGCAATAATAATAAATTTTTACCATCTATGTCAAAATCAATTTCCACTTTAGGAGTGATTGAAAAGTGATAAAGCATTAACCACCACCTCCCTAAATATCTCGCAAAACAAACAAAAAAAAAAGGTAATCGAAATATTAAAAAGTGTATTATTTATATCATAAGTTCATGACAATAGGTTTTTTGGGAGCATGTATTTTTTTGTTTTGTTAAACTATATGATATATTTAAAAAAAATTTTTTAAGGAAAAAGCTTGCATAAAATAAAGGAGAATGTTGTCTACTTTTTTGTTTTATTTATGTGCATACAACTCTATCTAATTTTTCCTTTTCGATGCAATTTTTTCTTTACACAAATGTAAAATATATTGTACAAGGCACAAGTAAGGATATAAGAATATAAGATCAAGGGAAAAAATCACACTCACATGTATATGTAACAGGACTTGCATTTCTGGTGCGACTGTCCGCACCATATGTCACACCTTATGACAGGGTGTCAAATCAGCAAATGACAAAGTAATCCCTCCAACCTAGTAACTTCTGACCGGATTAAGTAACCCCTGATCGGACCAAGTAACCCATCTAATAACCCCTTTAGTAACCCCTCCGACTTAGTAACCCTTGACCAGACCAAGTAAGTAACCCCTCCGACTTAATAACCCCTCTAGTAACCCCACTTAAGTAACCCCTCAAGTAACCTCACTTAAATAACCTCTCAAGTAACCCCCTAAGTAACCCCTAGTAACCGGTAAACCCACTTAAGCAACCCCACTTAAGTAATCTATCTAGTAACCCCTGACCTACCCATCTAGTAACCCCTGACCTACCCATCTAGTAACCCCTTAAGTAACCCCCGACCTACCCATCTAGTAACCCCTTAAGGCCTTAAGTAACCCCCGACCTAGTAACCCTAGACTCACCACCACCCCCAAAACGCCACTAGTCTCACCCCCAATACGCCATGCCACCACCACCACCATACACCAAACCCACAAACAAACATAGGTCCAACCAAACCCACAAACAAATCCTTAAAAAAAAAATCGAACAAAATACCTTTAAAATTAACAATGACTTCGAATTTCACTTCAAATATGGTTAAAAAGGCCAAATTTGACCATGAAAACTCTAAATATAGAGTTCTTATGGCCAAATTTGGCCTTACAAACTTGTAAGTTGTTTTCCGACGACGGAGTACGAGGACCTTTCGGAGTACAACGACGGGTTGGTGGATGACATGCGTTAGTTCTTCCTTTGTAATTGCAGGTGATTTGTTTTGCAAGTATGCTGCCCTTTTTTGGAGAAAGAAGGAGATAGCTTGGTGAAGGGGGTGATATGGGTGGCTAATTAGAGAAGAAGAAATTAAAAGAGGAGAGAGAGAAGAAGACTTAAAAAATAAAATAAAAAAATATTTTGTTGCTGGCCGCGTACCACACATGAAACTTTGTGTATATGTAATTTATTAGTTACGCCTACAAGGCTACAAGTAACTTCGAAAGAAATGGTTATTTCAAGGAGATAGGAACACTCGTTTTTTCCATAACAAAATGAGGAAAAAAAATAGTCTCAACGACTATTCATAGGCTAAAAAATGAAAATAATGATTGGGTTGATACTTGTGATGAAATTAAAACCCTCCTTTTAGACTCTTTTCGCTCAAGATTTAAGATAACTCGTAATACTACAAGACAATAGACTTATCCTTTATAGACCCTATAATGACAACTGAAGATTGCAACTCTCTTCTTGCTCCGGTCTCTAAAGAAGAAATTAAAGACGCTTTCTTTAACATGAACCCAGACAAAGCCCCTGCTCTGACGGGTTTGGAGCTAAGTTCTTTCAATCCTATTGGCAAATTATTGAAAAAGACATCACCTTGGCGATCCAAAGTTTCTTTTCACATGGATGTCTTCCACCAACATTAAACCACACCATCATTACTCTTATTCCTAAGACAGAAATGCCCGAGATTCCTAACCACTTTCGTCCGATCAGCCTAGTGAACACAGTGTACAAAGAAATTTCCAAGATATTGGTCAATCGTTTATGCCCTATTCTTCAAAAAACAATGAGTCCGCTACAAAACGCTTTTACTCCGGACCGTTCTATCCACGATAATATCCTCGTTGTCTTAGAAATTTTAAACACGTTCCAGAAATCTAAAAACAAAACAGGTTGGTGCGCCTTAAAACTTGACATGGAAAAGGCATATGATAGAATATAATGGGATTTCTTGTGGAAATGCCTAAAAGCTTTTGGCTTCCCTTCCCAATGGATTTCTTGGATCCAATAATGTGTTACTAAAGTTTCATACTCTTTAAAAATTAATGGTGAAACGACCGAATGGTTTAAACCCTCTAGAGGTCTTAGACAAGGGGACCCATTATCCCCCTACTTATTCATCCTTTGCATGGAAGTTCTTATTAGGAAACTTTGTTTAGAAATTTCTAACCGCAAATCTGGGATAGGCTTCAAAATTTGTCCTAAGTCCTTTTCTATTCCTTGTTTGCTATTTGCAGATGATAGCTTACTTTTCTGTAAAGCTACCGCTTCAGCTTGTACTAATCTTAAGAAGATCCTAGATTCTTTTTGTGACATCTCTGGCCAGCTAGTAAATTTTCACAAATATTCAATTATTTTCTCAAGAAACATCCCTAATGGCCGAAGAAAATTCTTAGATGCACATTTTAACATGACCCTTAAAGCCTCACTTGGTAGATATTTAGGCTTTCTCTTTAGTTCTTATTATCCGCTGAAGAAAGATTATAAACATGTCATGGAAAAAACTGAACAGCGTATCCAACATTGGGAAGCCGGTTTCTTATCAAAGGCAGGAAGACATACGCTTATCCAAAACAATTTAGAAGCTTTACCTAGTTACCTATGCTCATCTTCCCTCCTTCTTAATGATGTAGTTAAAGAATTAGACTTTCTCCACCGAAAGTTCTTTTGGAGACAAGAGAAAGATAAAAACAGCATCCCCCTTATCGCGTGGGATAAGATTTGTAGACCAAAGAATGCAGGTGGGCTAGGTCTCCGGCGAACACTGCCTCTTAACAAGGAATTCATTGCAAAGTTAGGGTGGAAAATTATCTCCGAACCTTATAGTCTATGGGTTAAAATCATTAGAGATAAATATCTATGTAATAAATCCTTCTTTGAATGCACTCCAAATGTTAAAGATTCTCATATTTGGAGGAAAATCCTTGCCCAACGGGAAATTTTAAGAAAAGGAATTCGATGGAAGATTGGAAATGGAATGGATATATACTTTTGGATTGATAATTGGGTAACCAACCAAAGCTTAATTGAACTACTTCGTATGGATCCTAATCAAGTTGAGTTAGACACAAAAGTTTCAGACTTCATTCTCCCCAACAAACAATGGGATAGACAGAAGCTATGCTACTTTCTCCCAGACAATATCGTTTCTCAAATATTAGGAATTCCATTACCTAGAAACACGATGCTAGATATGCCGGTGTGGGGTCTTACTTTGTCTGGCACATTTACAGTAAAATTCGTCACATGGCTTGCCCATAATCTTGACCTTGATGATAAATAGGAACATCATTGGATATGGAAATTAGATATCCCTCCTAAGCTCCAATTCTTCATAATAGTCTAAGCGTTCGTGATACCCTTTACAAAAGAAACGTATTCCTTTTAGTGATTGTGGTCTATGTAATATTCATAGCGAAACAGTGAACCATCTCTTTCTCACTTGCATTCATTCTAAAGATGTTTGGAACCATACCTTAGTTAAGAATTGGTTGGATTGTAGAGTTCCCTACACTGATTTAGTTGAAGCACTTTTATGTTTAAAAAAACACAAACTATCTATTAGGAAATTTATTTTCCTTATTTGGAGTATTTGGAAAGAGCGAAATTCTATAATTTTCCGCCAAGAATCCTTTGATATTCCTAGAATTTTCCACCGAGCACAATTTTCGTTCAATGAGTGGCACTACAGAATTCTCACCGATACCTTTTCTTCATCGGGATCTCCTATTCGGAGATCCTCATCTTCTCCTTCTCATTCTCCAACAAACACTATCATGGTTTCCTGGGAGGCGCCACCAACAAATTTCTACAAACTCAATTTTGACGGTTCAGTACTCAACAAATCAGCAACAACAGGGATTCTCATCAGAGACAGTAGTGGGGCGATTTTAGGAGCTCGCGCTTTCAATCTCGGCACCACCAAGGTTTTCATAACAGAGGCCATGGCTATTCATAAAGGCATTCTTCTAGCTCTTGAGCGTGAGATAAAAAATATCATAATTGAAGGTGATAATCTTTTAGTAATCAACTCCGTTAATGGCATCTGGTCAACACCATGGCAAATTGATCATATTATTCAAGACATTTGTTCACTTCTTAGCAATTTCGATAATTGGAGCATTCGTCACATCTTTCGAGAGGCAAATCAAGCAGCGGACTGGATAGCAAATGTTGGTCATTTAGTTAGTGATAGTATGGATATAGTTCCTTGTAATAATTCTTCTTTATTTTCCATCCTTTCTTCCGACGCATTAGGAATTCCCCTCGTGAGGAGGGTTTCCTAATGTTTTCTTTTTTCTTACCATTGTAAAAAAAAAAAAAAGTAACTAAATACAAGATTTATTGATCATAAAGAATAATAAAAAAAAATACATACGAGTTATATCTTTTGTTGATCGTTTGCATAGTGCATATTGATTTGAGAATCATACCTAAACGAATTGAGAAATTGTGATATAAAATCATTTTTTTTTCTTCTTTATTGCACCCAAATCATAGTATCATACTCAATGTCATTGTGACCAATTTATAATAAGCCAATAATATTATTTTTGCAAATTTATAAAATACATTTTATCATCGATTTATATGCCCCCAAAGTAATTAGAAGATAAAAGTAAATCTAGACACTGATCAGGTCGTACAAGCCCCTAAAATGGGGAAAGATAAAGTTGTAATTTAAATTGATGCATGTTGATCTTTCATTAACGCGACCCTTATAAAGGCTCGACCAATGTCACATCATACCAATTGACTCTCTTAATACTTTATACTTCCTCTATTACACATTATGTGCAACAAAGAGGTGTGCACATTTCCCGAGAAAAAAAATAGAAAAGCCTAATTAACAAAGTAGGGGCATGTGATTAGGGTAAAGTGGATGATTAATCAATTCAACCCACACCACCATCCACCAGGCCACTTGCCCGCCACACCACCACCCACCAGACCACTAATCCGCCACACCACCACCCACTAGGCCACTAGATCGCCCACAAAACCACCGCCAGATCGTCCCATCGAGCCACCCACGCACCCCCAGCACACCAGGCCGCTCAGAGTCCACCCCACCGAAGAAAACACCTTAGCCACAGACCCACCACACCACCACCAAGATCTCGACTTTCTCCCACCTCGTAAACCACCAAAAAACCACCCATAACCATATAAACCCTTCCAAAAAACCTCACCCACCATCTCGAAATCGCTGTACCCACCTCGAAATACCACCTTACCCTCCCTAATTAGTCGTACCCACCCCCAAAACCACCACCTCCAACCGGAAAAATCGAACACCATGAATCCCGACCCTACAAAAAAAAACAAACCTAATAATACAAATGAAAAACCATTACCTTCACACATCAATTGAACACCATGAAACCCGACTCTATCATCAATTTAAGCTTTATTTGGTCAAATTTAACCACTAAAATTCTAGTTCTAGATCTAGAATTTTTATGGTTAAATTTGACCATAAAACCTTCACATTTGAGTTTTAGTGACAAGAATGAAACAAAAGGAGAAGGAAGAGAGAGAAAGCGAAGATGGCGACAAGCATGACAATGGCAGCGACTTCCGACGAAGGTGGTTGTTGAATTTGAGGGCCTGCGGGGAGATGGACAAAGAGAGGGGGAATTTATGGTTAGATGAAGATAGAGTGGATCGGAGATCGGTATGGTGGTAGTGGTGGTGGTGGTACGGTGTTTTCCATTGAAGGCGATGGTTGAATGAAGAAGATGGTTGAAGGAGATGGTGAGAAATGAAAGTAAAGGGGTTGATTGGGGTTGGAACTTAGAAGAATGAATCTGATTAGTTTGGGGTTGAATTAGGTGTAAATTATTAGATTAATTAGAGTTATCAATAACTTAATAATATATGTTTTTGGGGGTGTTAAATACCGCCATCCAAAATTATCAAAACCGCCAACATTTAGTGTGAATGGACAATCATGTCCTTAGTACTTCACTACTATCTTCTTCCCTCTTGCCATCAATTACTAACACCTTGACACCACCACCCTAATTGACGACTAACACCACCACCACCACACTGACCGGCGACCCATCACCTTCCCTCTTTTTTTTTTTTTTAATTTTTAAATTTCAAATTTTCAGGCAATCGCGGTGACCAAAGCCCAAAATCAATTACCGTGTATAGTAAATGGAGCCCAAAATCGGTTACCGTGCATGGTAACCGGAACCCAAAATCGGTTACCGTGCATGGTAACCGGTTTTGAGCTCCGGTTACCATCGAATCGATTAAGGTGCACGATAACCGGAGCCCAAAATCGGTTACCGTGCGTGGTAACCGGTTTTGGGCTCCGGTTACCACGGTTGCCTAAAATAAAAAAACCACCACCTTCACGTCGACCAGGGAAGGTGGTGGGTATTCATAGAGGGGGGGTGTGGTGGGTCGTCGGTCAAAAGGGGTTGTGATCGCCGGTTGGAAGGGGTTGTGGGTTGACGGAAGGATGAAGGGATGGTGAAGTAGTAAGGGTAAGATTATCCATTCACACCAAATGTTGGCGGTGGTGATCATTTTTGTTGGCAGTGTTTAGCAATCCACATGTTTTAATGTGTTAATTGAATTTTAGTAAGGGTATGTTGGTAATTTTATTTAAATTTTTTTACTAAAATAGGAAAGTTTCAGTTTGTTGCACATAATGTGTAACTTCTGTTTTTGAAAAATGTTGCACATAATATGTAACGGAGGAAGTATATTTTTGTCAAATGGGTCGAAACAAGATGATAAATTGACATATTCGTCAAATCGTCATGCCCATGTTAAGCTCGTGCCAAATTTAAAAATAATGTTCATGTACAACTCAATGAACTCATTGCCCACCAACATGCCCGCGTCCTTGCCATGTCGACGACGGGCTTATGCCAAATCAGGCCAATTTCCTCATGTCGTCCAAACCCACACCCACACCCAACTTTGGGGAGAAGTTTCCATTTTGTCATTTACAGTCAAAATAAACAAACAAGTCAAATCAAACACAATAACAGCAGTTAACCATGCTTAACGACAGGTGACAGGTCATCTTCCTTTTAATGGGGCCCAAACCTCACAAAATTCCATTTTAAAAAAATAAACACACCATCAAATTAATTAAAAATGACCCACACTTGCCATTTACCAATTCGACCTCCTCCCCTTCTTCACTCCCTCTCACCATCACCAAAACTCGTCCACCATTCTTTTATAAATTACTACTTCTTCTTTCTTTTCCCACCATTTCTCTATATTCTTCTTCTTTTTTTTCACATACATTATTCTCAGTTCTCTTCAATTTCCAGGTAAATCACGCGTCGATCGGTGTAATTAGTGCTGAACTCTTTTACTCGAGTGTATATAAATAGGATTGAATTTTGCAGGATTAAAATGGCGGAGTTTCAATTCCAAAACGACGAGCTGGAGTTGGTTGATTATATCAACGATTTCACTAATTTTGACGGCGAGCTTTTAGCCTTTTCCGAGAGTTCTTCGCCGACAAGTAGCCTTTGCAACACCGACGATCCTTTCGATTCCGACGTCGAGGATTGCTTTGATGTCGTACGTTTTCTCTATTCCTCTTTTTGTTCCTTCATTACTCCTTTTGTTTCATTTTGATGTTCGGAATTGAACAAGCTTGTTTTGTTTATGTATGAATAATTGATTGAAAAATTGGTTGTTTGGTGAAAAAATAGTGTGAAGGAAAGTCGAAAAGCGAAACGACGGTGTTAGAAGTGAAGAATGGAAAAGATATACAAGGAATACCATGGGATAGGCTTAATTTTACGAGAGATAGATATCGTGAGACTCGGTTGAAGCAGTATAAGAATTTTGAAAGTCTTCCTTCTTCTCGAGAACATTTGGAAAAGGTCTGTTTTCTTATTTTGTTTTATTTCTGAGAATATTAATTTTTTATTTTTTTTTGTAGAAAATTTGAAGTTATTTGATTTTGCGGATTGAAACTGATTAGTTTTACTGATTTGACAGTTTAATTTGATTTACGACGTTCTAATTGATGCTGATTTATTGAGTTTTTAGTTTTTGTTATTAATAGCAAAAAAAAAAAAAAAAATCTGGAAATTACTAAAAAAAAATAAAATTACACAGATTTTAGTTGTCATATTTCAGAATTAATTTGATTTATACAAGTATGACTAATTTAAATTCTTTTTAATATCGTGTAGAATTGTACTTTGAATAATTCAAAAGTAAGATGGAAAATGACAATGATACTGAATAGGCCCTGTTTTGTGTGTTATGATTCATGTTTGTTGATGTGCAATATATAACAGGAATGCAAGCAAGTGAAGAGAAGCCAATCCTTCTATGATTTTCAGTTTAATACAAGACTTATCAAGTCAACAATTGTGCATTTTCAGGTAAAATTTATGCTTGTTTTCAGGTTGTTGCAAAATCATAAGTAGTTTTGATGTAGAGATCACTTAAAGGGACCTTTGAGATTCAAGTGTAAGGTCGTCATATCTTTATATATTGGCCACAAGGAACAAATGTGAATTTCGGGATCATTTCTATAGTTGATGGAGACTAGATTTCGAATTTGTTTAGTTTAGCACTTGAGGACTCTATAACAATTTCAAATCAAAAAATTAAACATATTTATTGTGAAGAGAAGAATTTAATTGAAATTTTATTTGACTTGAAAATTACCCTTTTTAATTTTCTTTTTATCAAGGGAGATTGTAAGGTGAATTATAAAACAAACAGATCTAAGAATTGTGAATGTAAATCTGATTTTTTAAAAAAAATATTTATATCAGTTTGTTCTTTAATTGACATACAATCTTTCTCGAAAGAAGCAAGCAATTCTTAAAGGTATCTTTTGTCATATGAATATCTAAACTAAATTCTATCCTTCCTAAAACCATTTCTTAAATTACTTTATATGCTACTCTAGAGTACTCAGTGTTGAAACTTGAAAGTAAACATGATAAGTTGAACTATATTCTCCATCAAATATGGTAATGATTGTGAAAATTACTCTTTTCTTTGCTGCTAATATATCAAAATTGACCAGTTTACATTTTGATTTGCAAGGTCCTTTATGTGGCTTTTCAGTTAAGGGTCCCAAGGAAACTTACTTAGCAAAGAGTGTCTAACGCGAGTTTGTACCCATGTGTCAGACACAACCATTTCATGAAAATTTTGCATGATTTTGGTCCAAAATAAAGTGTCTAATTGTCGTACCCATATCTGAGTGCCGAGTGTCTAAATAGGTATTTGAGGAAAACATTAGATGTTAAGATAGGGGGTTTGCTGCGTGTTTGAGGTCTCTTAGATCCAACTTTCATGTATTTCTTATAGAAGGATACACTCAAGAATTTCAGCTTTAGGCTTAAGAAGTTAAGATGGTATAATTGGCCTCTAGTTTGCTTGTTAAGACATTTTTAATGACATTAAGCAAACAAACCTAACTATGGCCAAGATGAATTGTTATGTGGCTCAAATTTGACCAACCTTATTTTTCATCACATGTTAAATTTCTTGGCTTAAACAAATTGTTATGTGGCACTAATTGACCAGCTTCATTTTGCTTCCCATGTCTACGTATTTTTACATGTTGTATCTGTGGGTCGTATTTACTTCATCTTTTTGTGCAGATTATTGAAGATGTAATCATTACTATTGATTTGATGCTTAATACTCACAAAATATTCTAAATATAAAAGTTCGGTCATGTAAGGTACTATCTTGAGTGGATTTTGCTTTGTGGTGCTGTAATTTGTTATACTTGTAGTAATACAAGGTATTATGTTAAGCATTATGTTATTTTCTGTAGTAGTGCTTATAAAGTTATCTTGTCTACTTAGTATAATACTCTGGTTAGTCTGGTAAAAAGCATCATATTGTTGCATGCAATACTTTAAGTGTCTGTTGTGGCATCTTGAAAGTTCATGTTTGGAGGTTGTAAAATATGTCACTCTTGTAGATAGAACAAAGAAAAAATAAAATAAAAGGCAGAAAGAGGAGTTCTGAAAGTCAGGAGGCTATGTTTGGTGTCTTTTACATTAGACATCAGAATAAAGCCCCTTTAGTTGCAGAACATGTTCATTTGTATAATTGTATTGTACATCTGCATTTGAGTTTATTTAAGCAAAACCTCAGATCATATTATCCTTGTGATATTAAAGAAATTAATAGAGTCTGAACATCTGAAGTCTGTCTACTGTATATATTACTGCTTTGAACTAGATTTACTATTAGTTGACCTTGGCCACTTTGCTTTTGGGTGTCATTTGATACTTAAATTCTAATTTATGTATACAATTTAAAGTGGTGTTTACAACTCTATTGTTTTAATTAGCATTATAATGTTGCTTTAACCGCCTTGTGGCATTAGAATTTTAACTGTCTGTAACAGGATGGAGTTATATCTGAGCAGCTGGCGCTTAAAGGGTACGTTTCAATATGGTATGAGAGGATAAATATAATTCTGAACATGTTAGAAAATTAATGAAGCTTGCAATAATTGTTGACAACACGATAATTTTTTTATTTTGTAATTTCTTTAATGCTATTACTTCCTGTTCAATATCTTGGATGATTTTTTCTTATTTTTTATTTTTATAATAATCTTATTGCTTATATACTTTGTGGTGGATTGTAGTTTCTCATTATGTTCACCCTTCTGTCTGACTGTCTTTGCATATGTTAGTAGTTTTTTTTTTTTTTTTTTTTTTTTTTTTTTTCGTATTTTTTCACTCTCTTCTGCACAGTCCATATTTAAGCTGCCGATGGTTGGATGCTGACTGTTCATCATGATTCTGTCACCTTGTTTAAGTAAAGACTTCAATAGTTCTAACATACTTCCTGTGCCATGTCAATTGGCAAGATGGAGAATTAGCTAGTCCAATGTCTACTCCATTCTGGATTTTATTTTATGTCATTCTTAGTGGGCTTCCCATATCATCATGTAGCTGGTTGGTGTAGATAGGCTTATCTATTCCACTTGATCTGAGATTGTAGAGGTGCTTACATAACAGAATTTACTAGGTTAGAAATGCCAGACAGAGTGATGAGTGCATCAATCTAAGTTTTTGAGTGTAGTGATCTCATTCCTGGTACTTGTAAAAAACTTATGATTCGTTTATTAAGTTGGTGTGAGAATTTGGTGGTTGTTACTAACTCTCCAAAATCTGTTTTGTGGTTGCAGCTGAGGAATTTGTTGTGGGCGACATCAAAGCATGACGTTTATCTGATGCAGAACTCCTCTGTTATGCACTGGTCTGCTCTACGTAAGAAAAGTGAAGAAGTGATTAATGTGGCTAAACCAATTGTGCCAACAACGGTGAGTCATAAGTGTCCTCATCTGTTGCAAGTATGAAAGCTTTGCATGGCTGCATCTTTTTTATAGTTATGTCACTTATCTGACAGTATTAGTTTCACGATGCATCACAGAAATGCACTCGATCTCTTCCTCAGCCCTTGTCAAGAGTGCAGATTAGCACAATGTGCGTGAAGGATAATCTCTTGGTGGCTGGTGGTTTCCATGGGGAGCTCATTTGTAAGGTATGTGACTTTAATTTTTTGTTCTGTTCACTCCAGTGTTGATAACTTGTTTGGCTTACATGTTATTGTCACTCTCTTGTTGCAGTACTTAAATCAGCCGGAGGTGGAATTCAGTACAAAAGTAACGACAGAGGAGAATTCTATTACTAATGCAGTAGATATATGCCAAAGCCCTAGTGGTTCAAAATGGATTATAGCTGGCAACAATGATGCTCAAGTTAGAGTTTTTGATGCTGCAAATTTCATTTGCATTAATCATTGCTGCTTTCCTTGGTCTGTGAATGTGAGTACGAACTACCTCATGAAGTCATGATCATGGCTTCTATGCTGGAAAGCAGCCTAACTTTACAATATTGCTGATGATTTGTGAGATATGTGCTGATTTCTTATCTTTTTCTTTGTTTGTAGAACACCTCGATGAGTCCTGATGGCAAGTTAATGGCTGTCCTTGGTGACAGTGCAGAGTGTTTGGTATCTGAATCTCATACAGGGAAAGTCGTCGGTACACTCAAAGGGCACGTGGATTATTCATTTGCTTCTGCTTGGCACCCTGATGGGCGAATCTTGGCCACCGGAAACCAAGACACAACTTGCAGACTCTGGGATATCAGGAACATGTCACAATCCCTTGAGGTACTTAAGGGAAGAATGGGTGCCATAAGAGCATTGAAATTTACTTCAGATGGCCGGTTCATGGCCATGGCCGAGCCAGCTGACTTTGTCCATATCTTCGATACACAATCTGGATATGAGGAGGCACAAGAAATCGACCTGTTTGGAGAGATTGCAGGGATTTCGTTCAGCCCCGATACTGAAGCACTGTTTGTCGGAGTTGCTGATCGCACTTACGGTAGTGTGCTAGAGTTTAACAGGAGACGTCATAATAAATACTTGGAGGCCATATTTTAGGAAATGTGGCTCTTGCAAATGGCAAACGAACTTGTTTTTTCCACGAGTGAGATGCAAATATTTGGACATAATAGTTGAAAGCTCTTTTTCTTTTTCGGTGTATTTTGAACTGTGGAGGCATTATTTTTAGAGGTTGATGCCGATGCCTCGGAAGTCATCTAGCAACTTTGCTAATTAGGGAGCCTTTTTTTCTCCCTATTAGCGTCAATGTAAAGAACACAATGTTTTTAAAATTTTGTTCGTCTTGTGTATTATTAAGTACTTTATGTTGTTTTTTTTATAAAAAAAATAAAATAAAATAAAAATACTTTATGTGCTTTCATGTAAACTTAATGTACTGTATTTATTTATTATTACTTCGTAATCCGTATTATATTTTTGGTCCGCATTTGAGCATTTTCTAGTCAATAATATGGATACTGACTTTTAGTGTAACAGCCCAATGAGGGGCATTACGACACTTTCAGATAAAAGTAAAATGTGTCACTCTTAATCTTAATTAGAGAGAATGAGATAAGTTTGGTGTATATGGTAAACTTTATTGAATAAAATGGCTTACTTTTGGGCTAAATCTAGGATTATGAAGCTTCAAGTTGAACAAAGTAATCTGACATTGTACTATTTTATCTGGATAATGTCTAAGGAGGTCTCTATGAGTCTTATCGTTCATTCGTTCTCCATTTATCTTCTCATGAAATCATCACAACTAGTGTGTGGCCCGAACGATGCTCCGGGTTATTTTTTTTTAACACCTGTAATTGAATAGATAGGTTCATTCTTTATTGTTTAGTTATTCATTTTTCGTTTAAAATTTATAATAGTTTCTCATTAAACCTTTGAATAAATTATTTATGGAACAACTATTAATTATATAAACATGTTCTTGTAAAAAAATTATATAGACATATCCTTTGTATATGATGTATAATATAATGAAATTAAAGACATGATTATTATCAAAATAATTAAATAACTAAAATTTATAACAATGGTTGATTTTGGTTGCTTTTATGTATTATCTCGATGATCATAATTAGCAAATAATAGGATCAATTTTTATTATTTTTTTTTAAAGAATTGCAGTTATTAAATATTCAGATCTCCATCCAATCCGTATACTTATATATTTATAAGTCGAGTATTAAAACATGATTAATATATGAATGAGATGGTAAGACATCTAATGCATATTTTTGTGGTGAGTTTAAATCTCATGATACACATTTTTAATAGAATATGCTCATAGTTGAAAGATGACATGGCGAGAGTGACATGTGGCACATATACGTTTTTAGGAACGCTTTTTAATATATAATAAGTATAGATTATGACCCTATAAATCAAAAGATGTTACAGAGTATTATATATTTCAAGGATTAATTAGGATTTTTTTAATTTTTATTTTATTTTATTTTATTTTTTTACAATGAGTGTATTAATAGTTAAAGCTGTATAACGTCAAAAATGTTACAATTACTTGTTTTTTTTTTTTTTTTTTTTGACAAAGGAATAATTTTCATATATTGAAAGAGTTTAAGCAACAACAACAAGAACTAGGTCTATTAAGACCTTTACATTAACAAAGCTACTAGCAACACTTACTCCTATGAACTAAGGAAAACAAAACTTAAAAGAAACTGCTTTCTTTGTCATCCCTTGAGCGTTGGAACCACTTTGTGGGTAGCACCGCTGCGATTCTAGTGAGGCGAAGCCTATATTACATGTTAGAAGCTTGGGTTGACCACGGTAGAAACTCTTTGTAACCCTTGGAGCTTGAAAAACAAAACCAAAGCTAGAAACGAATAGAAGGTTGTATTTTTAGAACAAAGAAAGTATATGTCCATTTATATTGGAAAAGTAACCATAACACGCTGAAAAAAGTGGAAGATTGACTACTCCATAATATATACTATATAGGTGGACTATTGCACAAATCACCAATTACTTTTCATGTGAAATCCTAATAAGAGTGTATGTGGTTAACAATTTATATTCATCCTTCATGAATTATCATCTTTATGAATTTATTGCGTGATCGAAGATTTTCAAATTTGTCCCTTCTCACGTTCTTGAGTGTTTTTATTTTTTTTATTATTTTTTTTTATTTATTTTTATTTATTTTTATTTTTTTGGAAATAGTCTTTAGTGTCTTATTATTCATGACATATATATCCAGTGAGTATATATGTTACATCATAATCTTAAACCTTTATCATGTTAACGTGTTACATTCAAATGTATAAGATCTTTTCATTTGGGAAGTGACATTGAAATGTTTACATTTGTCTTTGTCTTGTATAGAAATGTAGCTTACAATGTTCAAGAAAGCTTACTATAAGTCTATAATCAAATGTTTCAATTTAAGCAACCAGCGTGTTGATGCAGTTATCATAATTTTAATTTTATTTGTCAAACCGGCCAAATTTATTCGATATTTAATTTGGATTTGAAATTTTATACATTTTGGGACAGCAATTAAAAACATAACCTTAATTACTAAGAGTAATTTTAACAAGTGTCATCAACACTAAAGGGCGAGACAGAGGCTAATTCAAAATGTAATTGGTCGATTTTAGTTGGGTTGCACTATTGTTCAATCTTGTACACAACATTAAAATTAAATTTGATTACTTACGCGTCCGAAATTAATAGTCGTAAATCGTAATAATAGCTTGCGATTGATATTTTAAACTACTCTTAAAAAAATGTTTGGACTGAATTGAACCAGCTATCAGGAAAATGTAAAAAATTCATACACGACAATACGACATCGTATTTGAGTTCAACTATTTTGAATTTCCTACATTCTTGTCTAGAATGTCCATAAAAATGTTTTTACGAGGGACATAAAATACATTTGGACATTTGGTCCATACTCCACATGGTATATACTAGTATATATAAACCTCGAAAGACAATTGCTCACATAGATCATATAAAATCAATAATAATAAATTTAGAGAATTTTTTAACGTGTGCTCATAGGCATATATATCAATTATTCTAACAAATCAAATGAAAATCTTTCCACAATTTACTTTAAGAAAATAAGGAACTTAATTTCTTTTTACATGTCACCATTTACGTCATTTACTGGAAATAGTCTATAACAAACATACATGATAGTTTTCATCTCGAAATAGTCTATAACAAACATACATGTTAGTTATCATCTACTCAAATCACTATCTTTACCATGTTGAATTTATCACGTATATACAAGTTCAACATCATTCTCCTTGTTCTTCTTTAAAATGAGAGATAGCCATGGAGACGATTCGATCTTTTTGATCTAGCATTTGTGCGCTAGGCATTTAGAAGTGTTAAAAAATCTTTATTTTCTAGTTCCTTTATCGAACTCAATTTGAATTTCAAACCTCAAGAATCTAAGGTAAGAACCTTATCGAGTATCGACTATCATTAGACATACAATTGATTACGACAAGTGAGCCAAGAGGCCCAATACATTGCCAAGTTGCCAAAATGCCAACATATGAACATACCGTCATATATACGAAAACAGGTTTAGGTTAGTATTATGTGCAACATGGTGCACCTAGAAATAGGTGCACCACGAATATACTTTTGAACATTTAATAAAAAAAATTGAACATTTTGCAAAAAATGAATATTTAGTAAAAAAAAATATGAACACGTCACAATAATTGAACATAAATATGCAATTTTTATGTTCATATTTTATTAAAAAATGTTCATTTTGTATACATTAAATGTTCAATTTATATTACAAAACTATTGAATTATTACGAGTTAGTTCAAAATTTGTCTGACTCGTAATAATTCAAAATTTGCAATTGTTCAGATTTTTTTATTATATGTTCAAAATTTGTTATTGTTCATATTTTTTTACTAAAAGTTCAAAATTATAGGCGTGCTGTATTGCGATTGTTCAGATTTTTTTACTAAATGTTCAAAAATGGCGTTGTTCAGATTTTTTAACTAAATGTTCAAAATTCTCGATTGTTCAGAATTTTTTATTAAATGTTCAAAAGTATAGGCATGATGCATTGCAATTGTTTAGATTTTTTAACTAAATGTTCAAAATTTGCGATGTTCATATGTTTCTACTACATGTTCAAAATTTGCAATTGTTCAGATGTTTCTACTACATGGTGCATCTTAAAATTTGCCAGGTTTAGCTATAATTGTGGTAATTTCAAATTGTTGGGCTTACTCTAGAGTTCTAGACCCATGGATGTCAATTACCCCAAACAAGTCCTTAGGATTTTTACGAATTTTATTTTTAATTTTTATTTTTTTTTCAAAAAAATCCTTAAGATTTAGAAAGCTTTAAATACTAAGGGTCTATTCACTTCAGCTTAATTTCAATTCAATTCAGTTCAGTTCAGTTCATTTTCTAATTTCCTTCTCTTATAAACTATTCATTTCAGCTCTGTTTAGTTCAGTTCAATTCTGATCGGTTCAGTAAATGCGAATGGCCCTAAATATGAAGTATAAATAAGGACCAGATTAGGACTCTAGGAGTCCATCCGCCTTCAAGCTCTAGCTCTCAACCAATCAAACTACTATTTTATACTTTGTATATGAGTTAAGCATAAATACGGTCCCTCAACTATAGTATTTGTAGCATTTTGGTCTCTCATCTTTCTAATAAAGCAAATTGGTCCCTCTGCCACCCTTACGTGACTTTTCCGGTGAAAAAAATTATGAGTCAACATAGTTTAGGGACTACAGTGCCCATGTGGCAAAAAAAAATATTTTTTTAATCAAAGTTTAAGGATCTTGTGGGTATGAGTTGGCATTTAATTAATGAAAGGGTAAAATTTAGGGACCTTCTATCATTTTACAGTTGTGAAAAAAAATATTTCATGATAACATACGAGTAATATAGTTTAGGGACTTCTAGAATCTAGAAGGTTACCCAAAAAAAACCCACACTTCATCTTCAAACTCAATTACTCCATTGTTTATGATGTCTGGCTGGGAATTTGGTGATTCGTCGGAGCAGAAGAGAGCGAAGATGGCGAAACTCACATATGCTCAAGGTACGGTCATCGATCCTGTCTTCGTAAAAATTAATCTCCATATAATTATATGATCAAACCCTGCTATGTTATTGCGAAAAAAATTAGGGCTTTTTGGAATTTGTGCTTATTTTGGTTGATTTTGGTTCAAATATGCTTGATTCTGCTATTTTGTGGTATTATGTGTAATTGTGATTGGTAAATATTGAATTTTTGTGGGTTAGAATTCTAATGATTTTACAGGTAGGTTAG